GTGGCCGACTCCACCTCTAGGAGTTCATAAGATTTCTAAATCTGAAACAATATATGGCAGAATGCTAATTATTTCTCGAGGCTGCGTGGGTGGCACACAAACGCTTGTTATGTTGAATTCCTTAAAAAGTTATCAAAGCATCACAAAATATTAGATCCCTAAAAATACTAACTCCGCCCCAGGAAACAGGATGCCAGAAGAAACGGGTGTGAACCACTTGTAAGCGGCGTAAACTCGATTTCAACATCCTGCGATTCACGTACATGGAAATATGGGGAGGTGGTGATGGGACACGTGAGACAACGGGGGATGTGAGGACTGCCCTTTCCTTTCCACGTTTTTCTATGATGCACATGTACTACTTTCAAAACCAGAAAGAACAGCTTGGATGTGGACTTCAACCCTGCGTCTTAAAGTAATGCAAAAAGGCTTCACTTTGCGTAGAGTGGTCTCAGTGACACGAGGCTCATAAATTTCTCAGACTCCAGGGTTACACTAGAATATTCGATCATTATTATGTGCACAGTGCGTAGGGGAGTCAGGACAGCTGCCTCCTGTCTCAGGCTAGTTCTGCTGCAGCTTTACTGGTGGATTCCCAGGCCGAGGGAAGGAGGGCGTGGAGGGGGGTGTGCAACATGGAGCGGGGGAGTAGCGCATCCGATTGCCGGTTGTGATTTTTTGAGAAAGCCCAAGTGGTTGTTTAGAGGTGCGGGATGTCTCAGGGAAGATGTACAGACCGCCACATGGAGGATGGCGGAGGAACCCACCTGCTTTCATTGATCCAAGTTTGCCCCGGGGGACGTGAACACCCAGCACTCCCAGGGCCCAGCTTCCAGTTCACGGGGAGGGGCCGCAGTCCACACAGCCCAGCGCTGGGCCTGTGTGTAGACACCCAAGGGGTGCAGATTTTGGTGGATGCAGTGCCATGGGTGTTTGGGGCCAGCAGATGCCAGGCCTGTCCAGGGAAGTGAGTTCCTTCATCCAACACTGTCCATGCGTCATGCATGCATCCGCACGCTCCCCTGACCACCGACTCTCCTGGGCTTGGAACAACCAGAACTAGATGCTCTCGTCGTTTTCCCAGGAGAGAAAGTGTGGGTTCAACATCCTACGTGCTGGATTCTAGGCGATTGGGAACCGCAGCCTGGCCCTGTTCCATAGACTGTGTCCATCCTATTCCCCCTCTGACTGCTTCTTCTGGGTGCCGAGGAGGACGCTCCGGCATTTCCATCTTGCTTACTGCAGGCCGAGCTCGAGGAAGCACACCAGGTAATGGCCAGTCTGGCCCAAGCTGTCCTTATCCAAATATTCAATCCCAAGTCACAGGTCAAATGCCCAGCATCCCGTCCCACAGCAGCACACAGTCTCCCGTCCTCGTCTCTTCCCACGTGAGCCCCCCGGCCTGTGCTAGCACGTGGGCCGCATCCCGCAATTCCTCCCTCCTGTGCAGGGACTGTCCCTCCGGGGTCAAGGTTTGTAATTCCCGGTGCGGGCTGACCTGAGACCCGTCCAGTTACTGCGGAAGCAGGGACAGGCCGGGAGGTCGTGATACTCGACGTCGGGAGAATGCTGTCCTTCTGCATCTGTCCTCGGGCCGGGGAATGTCGGCCAGCGAAGAGGGGTCGGGGCGACGCAGGGTTCAAGGTTGTTGGCTCTCGTACTCCGTGGCCGCTTCCCGCGGTGCAGGTGCTCCCCCTCTGCGGTCAGGAGAAGCCACCGTCTGACGTTGCAGACGGAAGCCTGTGGAGGCCGCATTCAGGCCCCTGCAGCGCCGCGGCCTTAGGATCGGATCCCCGGCCGATTTTTCCACGGGTGATCTTTCCCGGTGGCTATATAAGACCAGAGTGTCTCTGAAAGCTGCCTCGATGCACCCACGCTGATAAACTGCCTTCCTAAGCCTGCCACCACCTCCCCCTTGCAAGGCCAGTCCTGCCCAGTGCCCCCGCCCCCGAGCTCTTACCCACATCACCCTCCCTGCTCCCTGCCCCCCCACCCTAGTCAGCCGCAGCCAGGAGCCCCGTGATGTTGAGCAAACTGCGGGGATTTGCTGTCCCTGCTCATTAAGAGTGAGAGGGTCCCTATGGCTCTCAGATGGGCACCGATCGGATTCCCAGCTCCCATCTGGAGGGTCTGTTTTCTAGAAAATTTCTGGCATCAACTATCTCATTTGGGGTTCCAAAGATAACATAGTCTGAGGCGAGGCTTAAACACGCTGGTATTTCATCGTGGGATAAAACAACACGGCAACGAGAAGGAGGGGAAATGGAAATGAAAGCTGGGAGGCGGGGGTGGGGGGGGCCGCAAATATAAGGTGGTGTGTGACCGGCTTGGCCTCTGCTTGAGAAAACGGATGGGGTCTCTCGGACAAGTTGGGGCATCTCTGGACAGGCCACCTGGGCCTGCATTTTCCTGCCAGTGCTCTCCCACCTCCTGCATTGACCCCAGCTGGCGCTCCGGGACCCTCCCTCCCCCTCTTGTGGGAAGTCACCACCCTTCTAGTCAACCGGCCATTTTTCAGGAAGCCGGGTCCTAAGAGGGGGAGCCTCTTAGGGGCCTAAGAGGAGGAGAGACAGAGGGGGGCCCAGCTCTCCAGGGTTTGACTGGGCCGTGTCTGGGTACCTGAGGCTCCCCCTGCAGTAGGCACCATGGACACAACAGTTGTGGTCGCCCAGACGTGCCAATGAGTGGTCAAGGGCCCAGGAGTTGATGTGCCCAGAGGATCCAGGAGTAGGGCTCACCCAGACTCTTTGCTGAGAGCCACACAGTGTCTTGAACCCTCCTACCAACCAGGTGTAGATACTACCTACCTTTGGCAGGAAAGAGAACTGGGGCTTCGTGTTACATACCTGGCAAGCAGTAGAACAAGTGTTTCAACCCAGGACTGTCAGAAAAGCGCCATAGTGCCTCTGTGAGCCAATGTCCTCCGTCTCCACCAGGCCTCTCTCTCTCTCTGCACAATGCACACCTCACTGTGCCACATTCGCCATTCCAAAACGCTTGAAGCAAAAGATGGCGATAACGGTTACAAATCCAGCTGCTGGTGGGAAGGTGTGGTGGTTGTGCTAAACGAGCCCTCATCTGGCCTCAGGGGAACGCCAGGAGAGCTTTCTTCTCCGTTGAGTCCACTGAACAGGAGACTTCCACACAACAAACGAGCTATTCCGGTTTGGGCCGACATCGCAGAAGCTCCTGATAAAATTATTCCCTGGAAAACCACTGCGGCCCATCTGTTCTTCTGATGCAGCACTTTCACCTCCCTGATTAAACGTCCTGTCTTCACACTGGAGCCACCCAAGGTCACGTCTGTGTAAACAGCATTTTTTATGTAGTCTTTGAACCTCCAGTGAGGGTGGCGTGGTCCCCGCAGCCTTGAAATAAAAGGGCAGCGGCACCAAATCCCAGAACAAAGGGGAAGTAGCTTCTAGTGAACTGGAAGTTGAGAGGAGGGGAGCCTTCCTAGAGGACAGAAGAATTAAAAGTAGGCTCTTGGTGGCCAAAGCCATCTTGAGAAATGTAAGGGGTTTTTTTGTCTTTTTTTTTTCTTTTTGGCTTAAATTCATTCAGTTTAGAGATCTGGAAAAGTGTCCGGCTTCCACTTTATCTTATCATATATTGAGCCTTCACATTTCTTTGTCATCACAGATCTTCAAGCACAAATGGAAATACAATAATCTCATTTGCTCGGCCACGTAACCCTTGGCTTCTTTATTTCCAGGATATTTTGAGAAAATGAACAATGGGCTTCCCACTTTTGTCTGCCATCTTGGGCTTTGTTTTTGGTACTGAAGATCCGCTGATGGAAAAATGCTTTCGTAATTCAGTACAGAACAAAACAAAAATTTCTATATACAGAACCTGTCAGCAGGGGCAAAAGAATATATTTAAAGAGAAGTCGGACATTGCTGCTATAAATGTCCACAATAGCCAAACTGTGGAAGGAGCCTCGGTGTCCATTGAAAGACGAATGGATAAAGAAGCTGTGGTCTCTGTATACAATGGAATATTCCTCAGCCATTAGAAACAACAAATACCCACCATTTGCTTCAATGGATGGAACTGGAGGGTATTATGTTGAGTGAAATGAGTCAATTGGAGGACAAACATTATGTGGTCTCATTCATTTGGGGAATATAAATAATAGTGAAAGGGAATAAAGGGGAAAGGAGAAAAAATAAGTAGGAAATCTCAGAAAGGGAGACAGAACATGGAAGACTCCTAACTGGGAAATGAACTAGGGGTGGAAGGGGAGGAGGGCGGGGGGTGGGGGTGACTGGGTGGCAGGCACTGAGTTGGGCACTTGACGGGATGAGCACTGGGTGTTATTCTGTATGTTGGCAAATTGAACACCAATAAAAAATAAATTTATTATTAAAAAAATAAATAAAGAGAAGTCGGATGGTTAAGACGGGCCGGGATCGGGAGAAAGGAGAGTCGCCGTGTTCCTCCACCACCTTCCTCCGAATGCCCATCCCGTGGGCCTTGGCTCGTCCCCAGAGCCTCGGGAATGCTGTCTGAGCGTGTTGCAGGAGAGGGGGAGGAGCACGTCCCACCCGAGACAGAGACTGCACGCCCGGGCAGGGTGGCAAAGGCAGCTCTTGCTCTTCCGAGATGCCCGACGCCCACTGGCGACATGTGAAGGACAAGCGTACGTGTAAATACGGTTGAGTATGCTCCCCCAGACGGAGCGTGGTCTCCCTCACGATGCACCAGGCAACCACGGAAGAAGCACCATCACTGAGTGTGGGAAGCCCAGGGGTGGTGTGTGTGTGGGATGTACTGCAGTGTTTTGGGAAGAAGAATAAATGCAGGTGCCATGAATAAAAAGCTCCAAGGCTGGCAGGTAACTCCAAAAGACTGCACGGGACCTTCAGAACCTACAAACGCATGCTCTGGTGTGTAGCCGGAAAAGAAAAACACAACAGAATGCAGACCCTCCATATAATATTTGTTAGTACCCTTACACAGAAAGACACAGACACCACCATAGAACTTATTTTTAATTTATTAACAATGTGGCTTACAACTTTTTTTCAAGTAAAAAGGGTTTCTTTTCATTTAGAATAAAAATTAAAATATAACTCTGATATAGATTTTCATTTATTTACATGGAAACATATATACAGAATACAATCTTACAACAAACCAACAACATGCCCGTTTGTCCTGCACATCCCAAAAGTAAAAACATGGATTTTTCCTTTTACACACCGAACCGTACACAAGATAGGAATCAAATTTCAATACCAACTACTCAAACTGGAATGCAAAAAACGGGAAAAGGGCTTCTGACATTCACGACTAGGGACAGTTGATGCTTCTGGATATCATGCTTGCTCCCATTGTGAACAACGAATGAGATGATTTTTTTCTTCTGTCATTAAAAAAAATTTTTTTCTCCAATTTCCCATCTTAAGCTGGTTTTCAGCAAATGCTGGTCCCAGAACTTTGCCTTCCCTTCGGGGTATGCGTCAGGCCCACCTGAAGCCGTGCCGTGGCATGGCTGCATGACCGGACCTGTGTGCTTGCTGGTACGGAATCCTTGCCATTGAAAACCAGCCAGGACGATGGCAAGACCGCCGCTCAGGGAACCGTCTGGGTTAGTACTCATCGCTGGAACTAGAGGCGCTTCTGACCCACACCCGAAGCAGCCACCGTGTCAGCAAGTACAATTTTTAGATTAAGTGGATCAAAACCAGCACAATTTGGTTTTATCACATCCATGTTTTTGGCTACTTGTCAACCAACTCTAGTGATAAAAGCTAGAAGAACCAACTGAAATACTTAACCGAGTTAAAGGGACAAAAGCAATTTCCGGAAAACTCTTGAACAGAAAAGAACGGTAAATGAATAAGAGGATCACTAGTTCGTCATAGTTGCAAATAGAACTTTTCCTTGCTATTAGTTATTGCACCAAGAGACACGGGCAGTCTGTCTATCTCTTCCACAATTTCTTCCTTAAAGACTACAGGGACTTTAATTTACTATTGTTCCCTTCAAAAACAATTGCACACTCGATCACAGCTTTCTAAGGACAGAACAGAGTACTTGGATCCTAGGTTCACCATCTCAACCGAAAAGGCAACAATGTTACTCAAACCACAACAAAGATTTTAACGCTACGGCTTTTATAGATCTATGTACAGAAATAAACAGAAACGGGTGTTCTACGCAAGAAAGTATGAAAACCCCCAGTGCTTGCAAAATGAAAGGAGGGCGGCTCTTAGGAAGGTGTCTGGTCTAAGATAAAAGGCAAATCTCAGAACTTGCCCGCTGCAACACTCAGAATTTCTGAGAGACAAGTTAGGACACTCTGACTGAGCTTCAAACACCGACCCAAATCAGCCTCCCAGAGATGACAGCCGGGTGGGTGGGGGGTCAGTGTCAAAGGTCTGAGTTATTTAAATTTATTGAGGAGCCAATCAAAGCAAACACAGGAAATAACTCTTTCAGATACGATCAAATAAGGTAAAGCAACCTAATGGCCGTGCAGCCCAAACACTGTGTGTGTGTGAGTTGACCTTTGATCAAATGGACCAAATTTTAAAAGTGATGGGTGAGTTCTCTGTACTATGCAACTGGAAGGGAACTGGTTTCCATTTTTCTTTTTTGGTTTGTTTTTGAAAAGCAAAGAAGTTCGTTTGCAATGCCAGCCGTACCCTGTTCCTTTTAGGTTTTTTTTTTTTTTTTTTTTTTTTTTTAGGTTTATCCTCTTGTGGATGGGATACTTTCCCAATACAGTACAGATGCGGTCAAGAAGGCAGGAGCTGGACAAGCTCCCGCAGTTTTGGGATGGGATTGCGTGATGACTCCCACCATTAAAGGCAAGGTGGTATTTCTGCCTCACACTGTACAGACGGCGAAGTGTCTACTTGGCTGGGAGAGCTGATACACGCTTCTCATCCAGCTCCAGGAGGTAACGCGTGGCAGGGTGCATCGAGGACCCAGGTAATCAGAGCACAGGACTTTGGTCCCAAAGTATCATCACAGAGACAGAGTGGAGGTTGTGGCATCTGGGGATGGAGGAGGTGGGCATCACTTGTCGGTGTTCCAGCCGACACATGTCTGGCCTGGGGCTGTGGTGGTACCCAGGGTGGGGCGTGTAGAATCAGCATTTCCTGCCATAAGAGACACAGTAACCACGAGGTAAAGGTTCCTTGGAAATCGGCCCTATTTATGAGACAGAAGCTGGTGGGGGGTGAATCCTACAGAGAAACAGACGCCACCTTCCCATTCCATAGCCAGGTTGCTACCCACGTGAAGTGCACCCACCAGTGCAAGTCCGCAGAGGGTCCAAGTTCAGGAGGATGCTGGTGACACTGACAGCAAAAGCATCTTCTGGGTCCTGGAAGGGTTTCTTGGCTCTCAGAGGGCCAGGAGGTGGCACACACAGCCTTCATGGGGGAGACCCCAGAGCTGGGCCCTCGGCCTCTGGCTCCAGCTACGTCTTCCTCCCTCACGAGAAAGTGGAAGGGGGTGAAGAGACCGATTGCCACCCAGAAAGAGACTGAAGTTGGGGCGTCTTGGGTGCGCAGCCCTTTGGGAGGCAGGAAGCTTCGCCAGCAACGGTGGCCGCATCTCGCCCAGCCTGCCAGTGGGAGATCCTTCCAGATCCTCTAGGGGGCCGGGGGGCTCCAGAGATGCCTGCAACATATGCCTCCGCGATGTAGCACCTCCTCCTCTGTACCTCTACCAGAAAGGGCACAAGAAGGGGACACGCATCCTGTGAATACAGTGCCACGTTGCAGCCACCACAACCCTCTGCTCTTGTTCCAGATACAACAGGAATAGCTCAGCTCAGAAAGGCCACGGTGAAGGATCCTAAGTGAGTCAGTGCAGGGATGAAGCCAAAGATCTCAAAATGGGTGCTCTTTCCGACAGACTCCACCAGGCTGAGCGTTTAAGGCCAAAAGCATGTGGCTGAGGAGGCAGGGGCAGGAACCCAGGAGGAGACCGATGCTTCAGCCTAGGAGCCGGAAGCCCAACCGCAAGCCAAGGGCCAGTCAGCACGGATGCTCCCAACCTGGCCACACTGCCAGTGCCAGTGTAGGACACTGGTCCTTCCGTCGCTGGTCCCCAGGCAAACCCACTTGCCAAACATTTAAAACATGGTAGAAATCAGCCAGGTGTGGGGGCGGAGTAAAAAGTTACCTCCAAAATAGGCTTCCTGTTTGCGTCTGTAACAGCAACACAGTGTGAGTAAAGGTCAACATTAATAACCTAACTTTGCAAAATCTGACAGATAATCATGCCGTAAAAATACAGCAGAAATGTGATAGCTAATAAGCCTACCACACGATGTCACTGCAGCTGCTGAGACTCTAATCAAGGAAGAGAGATCAAGATAATTACAGTACAAACGTAGCAGTAGGGCAGGCTCCCCTTCCGTGTCCCCTGAGGGACAATCCAAAGGTCTGCTTTCCTTGCGCCCATTTCCAAAAGCATTTGGGCCACTGACCACAACAGAGGGGAGCCATCCATTCGGGTTTCACTGAGCGCATTGGGTCCCTCACACGCAAACGCAGATGAAGTGACTGGTACAAAAACAAAACAAAACAAAATCCCAGCCAATTCTCAGAGCCTCAGATCTCTCCACAGGTGACACAACCGACGTAATGAGAACTGCCTGATAAATGTCATCAGGAACCTCCAAACCAGAGTGGGCTACAGGAGAGTGTAAACACAGTGGTGACACGAGTCTTCTTCACCTCTTGTGTCTCATCCGGGCAGATCAGAACTCGCCTTTAGCAGGAGCAGGAGGTGGACAGGGACATCCAGAGTGATCCCGCCATCCAGGGTCACGGTTGGCATCAGCCGGGCCAGCGGGAGAGCAGGGCCGGCCCAGGTTGCTGACGTGCTTCCCACCAGGAGTGCCCGCCTCCTCCATAGCCATCCCAGGGCCGGGCTGATGGAGCGCACTCAAAGCCAGCCTCATCAAGAGACTCATTGCAGGGTCCTCCAAGGGGATGCAGCTGGTTTATTAAAAGCTTCCTGATGCCTTTCCCACTCCTCTCTGAAATTAAGCTTTTCTTTCGATACACAGCTCAGTATTTCCCAACAGACTAAAGGAATGACTCCCTGATCTGGTCACAATTAAATGAGAAAGTTAGCAGTGTGTGAAGTTCTCTAAGAGATTGCAAACGGAACCCTCTACAGGCTCTGGGGGTCCATCCCTCAGGAAGAACGGTCTCTCTGTGATGACATGCTGCCTGCCTTCGTGCCCCCTGCTTCCTAAAAGGCACCTCTGACAGGTGACGCAGGTGTAGCCCATCCTTTCATAACCTCAACCTGGAACAAGTGCATTGGGGAACTAAGTCGCCCCCAAGATCAAATTGCAGTGACACCCACGCGGCCGTAGCCACATGTGCATCGTTACTGAAGAAGTGTTTGTAACAACCACAGCAGAATGACCAGCCGGGGGGCCTCCATGGGCACATGGACAAAAGGCCTGTGTGCCTTAGTTTTCAAAGCAAAGGGGGCTGTGGTCGAAGAGAGCCCTTAGTGGGGAGCTGCCTGGTTTCCAGATGGAGCAAGGCGAGGCGTGGATGTACAAAGAGGCTCTTCCATTTTCCACGGTGCCCAACACTGTCCAGAAGCCACTGGGGTGGTCCTGGGCATGCTTGCAAACATGGCCATGCAGGAGTGGCATGCTTGCAAACAGGCAGGAGCAGGAGCATGAGCAGGGCCCTCCCTGCTTCCCGCTTTTCGGTGCTACTTAGTGCATGTACCATCTCACAGTCCAGCAAAACGAAGCTGCGATCCCTAACCCTCCCGAGACGCTGCGTCACCGAGACCATGGATCGCCCCCCAAGAGGACAGCGTCAGTTGGCATACTGGGCATAGAAAGCCACTTTCACTCTCTCGATCTGATGGCACAGCTTGATGGCGGGCCCCAGCTTCAGCTCCATGCACTCCTGCACCGTGGGGAGAGTCAGCAACAGGAGCGCTTGGCCATCAATGTCCTGCCGGGAAACAAAGTCATGTTAGAGCCCAGACACTGTGCACCAAGGGAAGGCATCACACGTGGCAGGCTTCCTCTTGGGGGCCCAGGCCATGAGGGGCTGCTCTCCTCACCTTCAATTCACGGGAGCGCGTGGCGGCAATACCCACTTGGCTCGGGGACTCTCATCTTTCTGGTTAATAAAAATCTTTCTCTCAGACAATACTGGCTACTCTGAAACTCACATGCCTTGGCTGGTGGGACGGAGAGGGGGACCAGGTGGGCTGCTGCAGGACCTCCTCCCTCTCAAGCTTACAGCCCCTGGCCACTGGCCGGAACAGTGCCTCCAACCCCCCTGCACCCCCGCCCTTCGTACATTCTGCTGTGACTCCCCTGTGAGCAGGAAAAGAGCTCTCTATGAAGAGGGGCAGCTCTCTCTTCTTGGACAGGGCCTGATGTTTCATCATCGAAACAAGATGCTAGAGAGATGGGCCACTACCCAGGGCAGTTCTCCCCTGAGGAAAACTCAGGTACTGACACACACACACAAAGGCACGCTTCTCCGTCTGCACAGCTGCATCTCCCAGAACGAGGTGCACAGGGTCTGCCTCCGGGTTTTGTCCTCGCCAGCCCCCTACAGCCATACAGCCATGCCCCGAGTCCGCATGGGGACTGTATCACTAGAGACTGTTACGCTGCAGCTGCTGCAGGAGGAAAAGACTATGGCTCACCCCAAAGCTTTAGTATCACCCCACTGGACACCTCGGCCTCTTCACCAGCTCGCTTCCTATAACCATATTTACATAGATGTTGTTTGAAGACAAGACAGTCTTCACATTCCAAAGGAAGTAAGGGAAGGTTAGCGGTAAAGGCCAGTGGTAGAAGGAGAGCAGGAATCGAACCCAGCAAATGGGAATTTCTGCCTTTTGGAGAAGCGGTGAACCCAGGGCTCCCACAAGCCACAGAGATGTGCTAGTCCTGCAACTGCACACAAGCACGTGAATCTCAGACATCATGCATCACGAATTACACGCACAGAGCTTATGTTCTTAAAATTAGTGGTTTATCGAGCTATCTTAAAGATACCAAAAGCAAAAAAAAAGAAAAAAAAACCAAAATGGGTGTAAATGTTGGCCTTAGGAGGACTAATGGTAGGAGCAAGCATAATTTAGCATACGATGTTTCAAAAGCCACCTCGAGGTGCTGATAATCCCTAATAAGTACAGCGGCAATAAGGACCAAGCCTTAGCTTTAAGAGTTCCGACATAAGTACAACTTAAACTGTCCAGATTACATGGGCTTGGGCCTTGATGTGCACGACGACAAGCGCCTGTCAACCAAGACCCACACTGGACCTTATTGAACCCCAAAGTGAGCCAATCAGTCCTGAATACACGCTAAAAGTAGGAGACAAACTAATAAAACTGTCAATGAGTTTTTGATGCTATGTTTGTTTGTTTTTTCTTTTTCTATAGTGTTTTTACAGGTTACTTTCTCTTCAGATCCCACCTCTAGGGCAAACTAGAGGAAGTGCTGAGAAACAGTGTTTTGCTCAAGTTCATGAACCAAACCATGGCACCTCCTGACCTGGGACCTGTCAGCTGACTCCACTTTCTGAGGCAAATCTGCCTAATATTTTATCAAAACTTGACAGAATGGGTATAGGCCTGGGGATACATAGTCTCGTATCATGGGACTCATAAAAACACATTTTAAGTAGGAAACAGGATGATGTTATAAAACCATGTGCAGGTGGCTTAACCATTATGTTCAATGAAGAACAGAACAGAAACTTCTTTTAGGGTAAAGGAAGTTTTTTTAGTTGGAGATTAATACCATAAAAACTAGTTGATCTACCTAAGATCATTGAGTTAGAGACTGTATTGGAACTAGAACCATGGCTTTCTTTCTTTCTTTTTTTAAGATTCATTTATTTATTTTAGAGTGAGAGAGAGAAAGAGAGCACGCACAAGCATGCAGGGGAGGGGGCAGGGAGGGGCAGAGAGAGGAGACCAGCAGACTCCCCGCTGAGCAGCAAGACCGACATGGGGCTCGATCCCAGGACCCTGAGATCATGACCTGAGCGGAAACCAGGAGTTGGACATTTAACTGACTGAGCCACCCAGGTGCCCCTAGAACCATGGTTTCCAGATATTAAACTTTGGAGGGAAAGCCGTCACTCTAAACATCCATACTTAGGATGGCCATCCTTGGACATGAAGATTCAATTGCAATTGAAAGCCAGTCCTAAAATGCTTCCATAACTCTCCGCAGACCACAGCAGTGAAGGCAGCCGCCATATGCAGGCACCACATTTAAGTGAAGGATGTCATTTATTTACTCAACAAGCGTTTCTTGAGCACCGTCTATGAGCCAGGCACTCTATGGCCTCTGTGGTTACCGCACTGAAGAAACGAAGACTCCCTCCCAGGAGGGCCATTATGATGAACAGACCACTACAATACAGAGAAAATAAAGTATGGTCATGGAGCTACGGGCTCAAATGGATGGGAACACAGCCAGTCTTATAGGAGGAGTCAGGAACGCTCCAGAGATCAGGTGATGCCTGAACTCAGACCTAAGGGGTTAAGGGGAATCATTAAGGGGAGGTTGGACCCATGGAAGGCAAGTAGTTCACGAGAGCACGTACCCAAGGAAAGCTCAGAGACACTGAGGGTAGAGCCGAGATGGGCCCAGATGGCAGTTAGGATATGGGAACTGCTGGGCTGTGTGAGCAGGAGTCACTAAAGATGTTAGAGAAGTCACGTTATAGGACTTGAACATCCACAAGCTGATATTGGGCACAATGTCCTGGAATGGGTCAGTAGGCAGGGTGGGGAGGGCATGAGGGACCAGGGGTGAGGATGCTTACTATGGGGTAGCACAGCTAAGCCCGGTGAACTGGGGTGCTCCCCGTGGGGTCCATTACAGGGTGCCATGGAGCGGCCAGCCCAACCACACACCGCATGCTCTGTGTACAGTGCACGAAGGACGGCAGTGATTTCCAAAATGTATAAGTCACTACGCAAACCAACAACAAAGACAAACCATGAAAAAAATTAGGCAAAAGGCACGGGCAGATACTTCACAAGTGAAACAAAAGTGGTGAAATTTGTGGTGGAGATGCCAGCCTTATCAGGGAAGTGCCAATGAGGCCCACGACACAATTTTATGCCCACAAAAGTGGCAAAGTCACACAGTGCTAAGTGTTGGCACAGAAGTATATGGTAACGGGAACCCCTACCCCATGAGGGGAAACGTATGTTGGTTCACCTACTGTGGGAAACCTTATGGCGTCACCTCGAAAAAGCATGTGAGAGGAACTCAAACAAGAACACGATAAATGCAAAATTTGGAACAGTATTTACCGGTGGTGGAAATAAAGGGGAGGGGACAGTAGATGCAGCCGTGTGGCAATCCTCTAGGCTCCTCCCCGGAGGGCGGCTTTCAGAGCTGTTCCCTTTATCAGCACACCCCCGATGTACAAGTGTCACATGCACTCTTCAGGATGCAAAAACTATTACTCAGTAAAAATACTTTCATGTGTCTACACCTCAGGTGCAAGGTGGTATTCCTCACCAGTTCTTTCTGAAATGCTTTTCCTTTTGCTACATTTTTCTCACGTCTCACAGCCCAGGAAGGAGGAGAAAGGATTCCCCTGATAAATCAAACCTTAGTTTCTGAGGAGGTGCCAGGTCTTTTAAAGCTGTTTTACATTTCTTTGCAAAATATCGAATACATTGTTTGTATCGTCAGACCCCAAAGTAGATACTGGAGACACACAATGAGTGAGATGTGGCTCCGTCGCCGTCCTGCTGGGGGTCGGGGCACAGAAACACAGATGCAGCTGGCCCAAAGCAGCACCTCCCAGCAGAGAGAGCTGGGCGCTGAGGCCCGGGACCCAGGCGTCAGGGGCGGCCTCGCATTTTAATTCACTTTTGAGAAGGCACGGCAGTCAGGGCAAGGGATCTCTTCTAGTTTGTTTCCCCGTTCTATCCTCGGCACCTAGAAAAATGCCCGCCAGACACAGAACAGGGGCTCGTTAACGTGTGTTGAATGAACAAGGGGAAGACCTGGTCTGCCCACATGAATTCACTTTTTCCACAGTGGGCCCAGTGGAAAATCTGGGGGAGTCGCTGCGTGCGTGGGAATCGGAGGCCCTTCTTTCTCCCTTCCTCCCGGAGTGCCCGCAGTTAGCCTCCTTCTAGGGTATCGGTGTGTATCATCTTAAAAAAAGACCATGCACACACACCTTTAACTGATTATACAGCAAACAGTACCTTCCTTAAATATGAGGCCCCGAAAGACCCAGTTAGACCGTGAGGCGGCTTGAGAAACGGCAAGACTTTACACGAGCGCAAGAGAGTAAGTCACAGGCTTCACTGGAAATTCTATCTGCAGGGTGGCTTGTGTCCAGACGGGCAATTAGTTTCCACATTAGTTTAAGGGGTGATGTAAAAAAAAAATCCCTGACTTAGGGCTCAGAGCAGGTCTTAGGTTTTAGCTAAATATCATCTTATCTGCAGAATCAAAGTTCCTTTAAAGTACAGAGTATGCCGATCGTTTTGCATTCAGTCATCTCCCAGCACAGTGCCTGACATTCCACAGGTTTTTAACGTCGTTGCAGAGGAAGGAGTGAAAGAAATGGGGGCACTGAGAGGAACAGGGAAGATGAGGAGATGTACTTGCCCCGTTTCTCCCGCTGAATAGAACTAAAAGCCCTGGATGTGATGAATCAAATAAACATAAGGTGCAGAGGAGAGAGAGCCGACCACAGGGACCTGGGGGCCCGAGAGGGCATCGGGAGAGTGCCTGGGTTTGTCTGTTTGCGTCCTCGGCCAAGACCTATCGCTAAAGAAGCTGCATGGGTGAAAAGGGCCCAAGGGAGGCCTGCTCCCTCCAGCCAGAGGACGGGGGAAAGGTAGCCGAAGGAGACAGACACCTTTTAGACAAAAATGGCTTTACTGCAGGACAGACCCCCGCCCCGACACAACAAAGGCCAGGCAAGCGCCCCGATCCCCCAGGACTCCCCGCCCCCAAGAAGGAGCATCTGAGAAGACGAGCTGGGGCTTCCGTCTGTGCTTGGCAGCAAGGAGCCCCCGACGGAGGTGTCAGCAGGGACTGAGTGTGAGCAGGGACTGAGGCCGCCTGCCCTGCCAGAGCCGTGTCACTGAAAGCAGCTAAATCAGCAGATCAAACAAAACTGAGCAAACTCAGCCGCAGAACCAGCGCACCTGCTCCTGAAATATCTTGGCCAACGGGGCGCAGTCGGTCAGCTTGATGAACCTCACCACGTCGGTCACCGTCCACTCCAACGGGTTGCTCTCCAGAACGAGTCTCTCCTCGTCCTCTTGCTTTGCGTCCTGATGGGAGAAAGGAGGCAGGAGGTCATTGGATCACTGCAGGGCCGGAGCCAGACTTTCCTCCTCCCTCCAGCCTCTGCCTGGGCACCCGACAGGCCACAGAGACTTGGGGGTTCAAGGGGCGTTCTTAGCATCTCGTCTGGGTTATGACTTTGCCTCCCATGACTTGTGTGTCCTTAGAGGTCAAGAGAAAAGGCACCGTGAGAGCAGGAGCTGAAAAGCCAGCTGAGGAAATCCCGGGCCTGCCTGGTGAGGATGCACCTCCGCTGCAGAGATGGTACGCGGCGCCTGAGAGCCTACGGGAGGCAGCCAGCTCTTGCCCATTTATTCTGGTGGTGATGGTGCCCGTGACCTTCCAGCCGATCGTGTCCTGCCTGTGGGTCTGGGGGAGACCTGACATGCTGACCTAGACTTCTGCGGCAACACAGGGGCCCCGTGAAGGGGAAGCTCAGTGGTCAACGGGACCCTGAGGACTCATCAGGTCTGTTCTCCTGACAAGAGTCCTTTGCGACTGGAAAACCTTCCAGAGAAACAGGTGCTATTACTGTCCTGGACTCCACTCAAGACGGGAAATCACCAGGCCTCTCCCCCAGACTTGGACCCTGGGCTGCAGCTGCCGCTACCGCTCCTGGCAGTTTAAGCTGGGAGCCCCACGTCAAGGCGTTCTTCACCAGCCTGCCTGCACCCTGGCCCCACACAAGCCCACCCTGGGGCCCTCAGGTGTTACCTCCACAGGGTCGTGGCCAGTGGCCGTGCCCTGGTCCGCCTCCTCGGCATGGGAGGCCGCCTGCACCCGCCGGGCCCTCCGCGGCCTCTCCATGGGCGGCCGGCGCTCCGGCTCCGAGTTGCTCCTCAGGGTGACTGCCCTCCGGGGCCGCACGGAGGGCACCTCGGCCGAAGAGGTGTCCGTCTGGTCATCACGGAGCTCGGAGCTGGTTTCCTCACTGCCAGTGTCCTCGTCCATGGCATCCGCATCCTCTTCCTCGCTTTCCTGGGGAGAAGGGGAGGCACTAAATCCAGGGAGGCCTTCTCCTGCCCAGCTGGCCCCGTGCACACCCCCCGAGCGGACCCCAAGAAGGGACCCCAAGGCCCATCCTACTGTCCCCACCATGGTCCCTGTCACAGCTCTCCCCCAGCCCGCAAGGCCAAGCAGAATGAAGCCGCTCTCAGCGACCAAGGAGCTGGGGCTTCCAAACACCCGGCGTCGCATGTCATCTGCGGCCTTGCCCGTGAGCAGCCCGCGTCCCAGGCCAAGGCAGGAAGGCGCTCCAGGCCAGACATACCTCCCCCGAGCCCGTGGCGAAATCCACGGCGGAAGACCTCCGCTTCTTCTGCACGAAGATGGATTTTCGCCGCTTCCTTCGTCTGGCTGGCTTCGGGTGCCCGCTCTCGGCGCTGGCTTCCCCGATTGGGGGCTTAATGATCTTCTTTCTCTTTCCGTAATAATAGGCTGCAAGGGGATAGAGGACGGAAAGCGTTTTCTAGAGGTTGCGCACACGTACGTACGTGGACCCAGGGGGACTACAGAAACGAGAGGACAACTGGGGAGAAGGGGGAGAAAAGAGAAGAGAGAAAGATGGCTCTTCCGTTCGGAACAATAAAAATCCAACATCTCATGTAGACATCAGGTTTCCCTCTGTCTCTTCCGTGGAGGAGGAGACATTTCTCCAGCGCTCTCATGGTTCGAAGGTGTTCTGGGCAGGGCTGTGAGTCTTCAGAACTCAAATGTTAAAGCTCCCTCCACCTGCCCATGCCACTGTATTTGCAGATGGGGCCTTTGAGGAGGTGATTAAGGGTGAGTGAGGTCAAGACATTGGGGTCTTCCTCCCATGGGACCAGCGTGTGTGTGGGGGGGGACGCACGCCAGGGGCGTGCACATGGGGCAAGGCCCAGGTGAGGACGGAGAAGATGGCCGTCTGCAAGCTCAGAGAGAGGCCTCGGGAGAAGTCAGCCCCGCCAGCACCTGAGAGAGGTCTCTGTTAACACGAAGAGCACCTGGGAGAGAATCATCGGCCACCCTTCAATAACGACCCGTGTGTTTTGTAAGTTAAATGCATGTTCAAGTCATTGAAGCCACTGCTAAGGATCTGGTTTTCAATTATGATCCTGACCAACACTCATCACGGAAAGTCTCGACTGTCCCACAACATAACCACCTGCAGAACGGGAACCTTGATCTATGGTTGAAAGGAGCCGAGAAAAATACCTAAACACACTGCTCCTAGGGACGGTGGAGCACGTACTCTGGGGTGCAGCGTGGTCCCCATACGTGGCCACGCTGCCACATTCCCATGGAAAAGTCACCTGGCCCTGACGCCCCACTGCCTCACGTGCAGAACGAGCCCAGTGGGACCAAGCGGAACAGGACGATCACTGCTTCACGGTTGTCCCCAAGCACCAGTTACAAGTGGATAAGCACCTGTTCGCACCCAAGAACCCCGACAAGTCTGCTGCAGTTTGTTTTTTTCCAAGCCAGGTGGGGAGTTATGATGGCAGGGGAAGTACGGGGATACTTTGCCTTGTCCCTCAAACTCAGCTAGATAAACACCCTCAGGGCCTCAACACCCAAGAAACTGATCCAAGGCCTGAGAGAGCGAACTGTGTATCTACAGGTAGTTTCCTAGAAGCCAGATGCTGGAAATCAGCACAGTTTCACTGACTACAACAAAGGTGCATCCGCTTGCAGAGGCTTGGGGTTGCACCGGGTGACGCTTGGCCTCGAAGCTCTCGATTGCCCCTCAGTGTGGTTTTGTCATTTCCCCGTGGGACATCTGCAGCCATAATTACCGTAACCTGACCCAGGGATCTTAGGATTTTCATGCTTTATCATCCCAGACCCAGAAAAATCTCTAAGTCATTTTGGTCGTGTTTAATTGGAGCTTGGTTAACCCACCTCTTCCTATTTTTAAGGTCAACCTTCAAGGGCAAGTTTAGCTCCTAGTTAAGTCCTCTGTGATTCTGGGGCATCTGTTAGCAAGAAGCCCTGCTCCACGGGGTCTCCCCTCTGCCCAAAGGTCATAGGAGGGGGAACAAGTTCTCCAGAGAGGACGGGACATCACCACACCCAACCCACACCCAGGTGGCTCTGCATGTGTGAGCGTGGCTGCAGAAAGCCAGGCGGTCCAACCTGCCAGAGGAGGGTGCGGACTCTTGGAGATGGAGCTGAAAATGGTTTAGAATATCCCTGCACCTGTACAGAAAAAAACATGTGGAAATTCATACTCCGAGTGGAGGTTCAGGTACGTTCAGATCCCTGGTTGTGACACACCAGGTGATCCACCTCAGCCGGCTGGGGCTCCCGGCACATGGACTGCACCCCGAGGCCCTGTGGATACCCTGGCAGCCGGAGCGTGGGCCGGGACAGCGAACCTGTGGGCCACTGAGATGGGGATGCGGTCACCCCTGGGTCAGAGATGACTGAGGGCAGAAGCGGGCATCAGAGGGAGTCAGCAGAGCTCAACATAATCTGAGTGGCTGCCATGTGTGCAGAAGGCAGAGCTAAGGACAAGACCCAGGAGAGGCCACCAGAAGGTGGAGGCTCCAGGGTGTGGGGACAGACCCAGACGAGGCTGACAGCAGGACTTCCTGCGGGGGGGGGGGGAGGTCAGAGCAAAGGCGGTGGGGGCGGCCAACCCCACGTCCCAGGACACGAGGGGCAGCGGAGCCCGCGGGAGCGTGGACAGTGCAGGCTGCTTCTGCACCGAGGGAGCCATATAGACGGGAGGAAGCCGTGTAGGACGAGGTGCTCACCTCGCACAGAAGGGCAGAGGGAGACTCTCCTTGGTCAGCGTAAGGACCAAGAGCCATTCTGGTTACTTGCCATGACCAGGAACCAGTTTTACCCGGCTTTCCTTCCAGCCAGATCGTTTCCAAACTCAGCCAATGCCCTGAAGTTCAGAGCATACCCGGCGTCATCTCTCCTTTGCCAACGCCCGCCAGTGATAATCTGTTCTGGGGTTGATCATCCTGTCCCTCCCCTGGGCTGGGAACACATAAGTATCGCCACAGCAAATCTTAAACTAATTCTTTTGCAGCATTTTCCGTGAAATATTATTCAAGAGTTTTAAAACAGAACAGCCCACCTATGGCCTTCCCCATCGTTTAGGCCTGCAGACCAGTATTCTTTTCGTGATTTGAACTTACTGTACTTGGTTTTGGTATGGATGGAGCAGTTCTCTGGGCAGTTTTCCGAAACCAGCACAGGACTGAACAAGTTTGGGCAACATTCTAGCTTGGCGCAAACCCGCCGGCAGAAGTCTGCAACTTGGTCGGATGTCCGAACGATCTTGGCCACGGCCCTGTACGTCTTGCCTCTGTACCTGGAAAGAAGGAAGGGAGAGCAAGGCAAGACCACATGGTTACTCAGACCTCTTCTGTCTACCGTATTCCAAAAGTAGCCTCGTGACTTTCTAACAACAAAGTCGGCTGTGTGTGATTTCCACACCATTTGCTTTGATCGCCCCTGAGGAGCTCCGAGAAGTCTCCCGAAGGAAGCCCGGGATCGTGCACAACACCTGGGATGAGGTGCCACAGCAGACCGGCCACCACAAACATTCCCACTTGGCATCATCTCGCCACGTGGTATACGTAATTTAATACCGGCTCCAGAACGCTTCTGAAATCTAGATAGTGTCACTTGTTGCTCATCATGTTTGAGGGAAATTTTAAAAAACAACAACAACAACAAAACCTTTCTCCTGCCTAAGAAGAACCACATGCATAAAACCAGAGACTGTCACTTCGGAAAAGCACATTGGATGGATTCTTGTTTCAAAAATGGGCACCGAAGCCCTGGTCCTAATATTTATGGTAACAACGATATGACTAAGGCTTGGCTGCAAAGAGGAGCGCCTGGATATAGGTTCGAACCACCTCTAGACCCACTTTTAAAATATCATTGGTACAGAACAATGATAAACTTCTCAGGTAGCAGCAGACGACCAGTCGTTATTCAGTTGACACGTCATGGAAGCTGGAGCCCACTGACATGAAGAATGCCTCAGCACCGTGGGGCTTGTTGAACCGCACGCACCCTCCCTGGATCTGCACCCCCATTTTCAAGGTGAAATCTTGAACAACTTATCTTCCAGAAAAACAGAAGATGCTCAGCCAGATGACGCTCATGTTAGGCTTTGGAAGACAAACCACAACCCAGAGGTGTCGACTACCCAGAAAGCCAACGTCGCCCTCCCACTGCACGTCTGCAAGGGTGATGGGCACAAGCTCTCTGCCAGACCTGCTCTGCACACTTGTGTTTCAGGTTTCCAAAAGCCTGACACAAAACAACACGGGCCCCAGGCAATGAGTGCAAACAGTGCAACGTAAAGAGAACATCATTTCGGGCAATTTGCAAACAAAGTATTACATTCAAAACCAAGATGTGGTTCCCTAAAAATAATGTGGTGACAGGAAGAAATATCATAAACTGATCCTAACTTTCTTTCAACCAGGCTTTCTTTCTACACTTCTGAAGACTAGAAAAATCTTCCCCCTCCCGACAAATCATTTTTCTTTTCTTTTTTACAGTATCAACAGAAAAGAAATTAAATTCTAACTTGAAAAAAAACTGGACTTTTGTGTTCATTCTCTAGTCTTTCAGATCCCAGTCCCTCTGTACTGATTGTTCTTGCATTTCTCTGAAGTGCCGAGCTTGGCTTTCTGTGTAGTAAGAGCTAAAAAGCAATTCTTTGTAGATAAGATCATGCTCTTGATCGCACAGCCCTGAACAACTGTTGATTTTTCTGGGACCTCTATCGACCCCCGATGTAGGAACACATCCCCAGCTCCGAGGAGGGCTCCACGATTCACTCTTGGGTAGTTCCTGATGGCTGCTTTTGTCATGCTTCATAATGAAACCAGCACAGTTCTGTGGACACAGCGCATCTCTAATGTTCTGGGGAAGCCAGAATAAAAATATGTCCCTGGTGCAACTTCCCTGTGCAGTTTTTCCCACTACAGTGTTGGTAGCCCTGGGGGTCTCTCTTCTAAAGAGCTCAACATCAAGATTCTTAAAGTTCCTTTAAAAAAGAAAATGATGTAAAGTACAGAAGCAAGAGAAAAAGGGAAAACTGGGTCCGAATTCAAACCATGGAAGTAGGGCCCCCAAGACAGGTTTCTTCATACCTTCAGATTCCAACACAGTGAGAAACACCTTTGAGGGACAGAGCAGGCCAGGAACTGATGCCCACGGCAAAGAGGCAAGGATGGTTGTTTCTCCCCTTCTAAAGGTTCGGGGTGACTCCAGGGAAGCAAGTGTTTCAGTAAACCTTTCCTAATTAGGAGACGCCAATCGAAATTTATGAGGATAGAATTATACAGCCTGGTTTTAAAAGTAACAGAATCCCCTCCTCTGCCCTTCTGGAATGATGAGTCCATCGTGAAGCCCTGGTGGTGGAGGAGGAGGGTGGGGAGACTGGGAGTCTGGAGGGAAGGACACTTAGCCATGTAATTTATTAAAAGTCCCAGCAAAACTGCTGTAAACACAACACAAGATAAGGTTTTTAAAGCATGGAGTACAAGTGCTGTGAAGAGAGGAAACTTGAAAGACACGATCAAGCTAGTACGCAGCACACGACTCCTTGGCATTATGATCTCGGAAGGAAGGGAGGGAGGGAGGGAGGGACGGGAAAAAGAAGTAAGAGATCACTGGGTCAGGGGCACCCGGGTGGCTCAGTGGTTGAGCGTCTGCCTTCAGCTCAGGGTGTGATCCTGGGGTCCTGGGATTGAGTCCCGCATCAGGCTCCCCATAGCAAGCCTGCTTCTCCCTCTGCCTGGGTCTCTGCCTCTCTCATGAATAAATAAATAAAATCTTAAAAAAAAAGATCACTGGGTCAGAAGTGATGCAGGATAACAACAAGCAAAGGTAAAGAAGGTGGGGAAGAAGGGAGTCAGGAAGATCCGGTAAACGGCCGTCCTCAGAGGAACTCTGCCTCCGTTCCTTTGAAGACCTCTCCCCCCAAACCCTGTTCCCTCCTCACCCCTGCACTAACTGAGGCTCCAGAGAAGTATGGAACAGGATCTGCTCTTTCCTAGTGGGGCACCGCAGAGAGGCCTAGATGACCCTGGTCTCAGACCCTCGCTTGGGAACAGCATAGGACGTCAGAGAACAGAGGGACACAGGAAGGATGCTCTCCTGGGCTGTCACTGTGGGGACCCACTCAGAACCTCAGGGCAACACAGAAGTTATTTTAAGTTGAAGATGTCTGAAACTTGACAGATGCAGAAAGCAGCTTTCTTGGAGCTTCCATTATGTGACGAAAAGCGGAGACTTCTGAGAAATGAGGATTACCATGAGTTCTCTCTGTGGGGCGTCTTCTAATCTCAGGGGAGAGACCAGAGTAAGCCTACCATAAATCCGCTGTCCACAGAGTTTCATGGCCACAAAAAAGATACAAAGCCTGCTTGTGCCTGCATAAACCAGCATTTTCACAAACTCTCTTATCCCCCCTTTGTTCTCCTAAAAACTCCTTTGTCTTTCATATAAAAACTATTTGTTCTTCCCTAAAGGCCTTTACTCCATACTGTCTTTCCCCCACTAAGTTGAGTATAACATACACAGAAGCTCCAACTCCTAACCGCCCCTTCAAGTCACCCATCATGAAGCACTCCTGTGCGTGTGCGTGCAAACAGTGAATGAGAGAACTTGGGCCAAACTGAAGTTCTCCCGCTTGGACCACCCTGATGTTTAAGAGTGGATCATGTCATCCGTGTTGGGTTCTTCACTCCACATTTCCTCTCGTAAGCAAATGGTCTTTTCTCTGGCTTATCTGATTATTTGTCAGTTTAATTTGCAGGCTCCCAGGAACCGAACATGACAGAGTAAAGGTTTTTCCTCCTTGCCATCGATAAGGAAGTGTGAGTGGCCTTCTGGGATCCTCCTACCAACCAAAGTGGCAATTTATTTCCACATGTGAGTGCATATGGCAGGGCGGAGAAAGCCATATGAAGATGGAGAAACAAGAGTGCTGGAAAGAGGAGTCTCCTTCAGCAGGTAAGGCTAAGGAACACCAAAACGGATTTTGAGTCAAGAGGACATGTGGAGTGAAGAACCCTGAGAAACCCTGTGCACTGAAGGAGGTGTGAGTGTGTGGTTATTTTTTTGGGAAGATCTCATCTGATTCAGAATATCCCACACTGCCCTGCGCTGGAAGCACCAGCACGGTGCCTGTAACCTGATGGATGCATTTTAGGAGAGCAAGTGCACACATCTGAGCCAGGTGAAAATGAACACATGAACAAACTACAAAAGATTTTTCTTCCACTAAAGAGTCTCTGTTAGAGAATCTTTTTTTCACACATATCGCTTTACAGCCAAATATTACAGCTTGATATTCACAAAATAGGAGCGTGAGGAGAAGACCCAAAAAAGTGAAATAGAAACACGTAAGAAAAAAAAATCAGTAATTACTTACAAAAAAGAAACCAAAATACCATTTCTGTAGAGCCAAGCGTGACTCACCTCAAAGCCGTGACTTTCCCTGGGTCTGTCTAAATGATAAGGAAGTTTCGTTCACTCCAAATTAAAGAGGACATCTCCTCTTTAAATATTCTGAATAACTGTAACAAAGGACTGGGAAAATCTATTAAGCCTTCACCTGGATTTTCTAAAGATTATCTCAAAAGCCACTCAAAGCAAAGTTAACAGTCTTTCTCCTGCCAAGAAGATTCTAGAACATGTCAGAAAACATTTAAATGTCTCTAAATGCACAGAGTTGGAAAAAAAAAAATTTTAATCCCCCTATGGTATAGCCTAAATTCCTCCTCCTGAAATACAAAATAATGTAGGTCAATCTAGGATACTTAAATTCATTGGAAAGGAAGAATTTTCTCTTCCAGAACTGCTGAAATGAGCTACGTGAGAATCTGTTTTCCCTTTGGCACTACAGCTACCCGGGTTTTGCCTTTTAATACCTGGCGAAGACTCGTGGTAGAGACTCCTTACATGATACTCAATGCTGAGATAATTTTAGTATAAAAGGTATGGTTGTTAGATAAACAGGAAAGAAAAAAATCACCAAGGGACAAACGAGGACAATGCCAAGTTTTTCTCCGACCCACAGGTTAGACCTTTTCCATGGCACCTCCGTCCTCTCAAGGACATGGGAAAACTGGTCAGCAAGCCCAGGTGCTCAGTGACCACACTCTCAAGCCCCCGGGGTGGATGATCTCCACGGTACATCCTCTCCTCCTGGAAGCACACCTTCTAACACTGTCACTCAAAGACCACAACTGAGACAACCGACTGCCCTAAATGCAGGTCCCCCCTGACCCGGGGAGGCTCATCTCTTTGAATGCACTTCAGCCTTTCAGCAAAATGGGAAGAAGCCGGCGCTCTCTCTCCTCTCATCTGCACCAAAGAAAAGAGCGAAGTTGTCAAGATCTGAAAAGTTGTCGCTTTACATCAGAAGCAAAGAAGTGACTCAACACATACAGTATCTTAACAGGAATGCTCCCCCCGCCCCCCCCACAACTGCAAATCTGTCATCATTAGCAGCTGCTTTAGAGATGCCGCTGTGATCCAGCACACTTGAACCCCAGTGCAGACACGCACTTTCTCATTATGAGTTGCTGTGTGAGATCTGGCGAAGGACTTCACTGTCATAGCTGATATAATAGGTGACACGCTGCCTTTACAACCCGGCAGGGCTCACTGCCCCGCGTCTGTTTTGATTGCGTCAGGCTGGATTGAATAAAAGCTCTGATAACGTGAAGAGGCGTGCCAACACCACAAAATTAACTCTCCCGGTCATTTGGATTCCTGGGGGCAACTTTCTGGCTTATTTAGGAACAGGGGAGATTTCGATGGGATTTAAGATTTCGGTATTTGTCCTATTTCCTTATCCATCAGGTGCATTTGGGGATGTACTGGATTTTGCAGAAAATGTTTAAAACAGGAAGTGTTTCTCTGTACCAACTCTTGCAGTCACCACTGTTTCCTATGTGTTGACCTTAAAAGAAAATGTTGTGTTACTGATGATCTCTCCCTTAGATCAAGTAGAAAGATATGGAACATTTGGCTGGGGAATTAAAAAAACAAAAACAAAAACAGAAAAACTTGCTTTAGTTTCTTCTGCACTATGGGTGAAGCTCATTTAAATACCTGTTGGGAAGCATGAGGCACGGTGCCGCCTTTCACTGACACGGCAGGTCATATGAATAAACACTGTCTCTATTAACGTGTATCCTTGTTGAGGTCTGTGATTTGGCACGGCATCATTAGACCACAGATGACTTTTATGGGGTCTAATATTACAGACATGTTCAAAACAGAAACTAGGAAACGTTGAGCGGATTAGAGACAACAGCCGAGCAGTACTCACCATCCTTACTCAGGGTCAGTGTAAGCCTACCATACAGGTCAAGCAGATCACTTCACATCCCTCAGTTTTCACTACAAACAGGAGAGGTGCTTTCTCTCAGGGAGAGCTCAGACATACTCTAACCACTGAACATGGCTCGCTGTTCAGAAGGCCTCATTTCCCACACGTCACAACTACATGCTATTTGAGGACACTGTTATACAAGAAGTGGACCGGATGGCACTCCTGGGGGGCTCAGCCTTTGAGCATCTGCCTTTGGCTCAGGGCATGACCCCGGGGTCCTGGGATCAAGTCTTGCATCGGGCTCCCTGCATGGAGCCTGCTTCTCTCTTTGCCTGTGTGTCTCTGCCTCTCTGTGTGTCTCTTATGGATAAATAAAAAAAAATCTTTTTTTTTAAAAAAAGAAGTGGACCAGTAAGCTCTAGTCTATGGAAAAGCTAAATGAATACCAAGGATCCAAAGTCAAAGCCATTATGAAAATAATCTTGACAAATGGATTCTCTTCTATCTGTCTTCTAAACAAGGATCAAGCACAGCAATCCAGTGGGTGCTGTCAATTTCAGAGCTCTAGAAACTTAGGCAAAGCCAAAATATTGTGTTTCCAATTAGTCTACTTGGAAATAAAAGAAGTGACCAGCACATGTCAACCCGCAGCCTGTAACCCAAAAGGAAGCAGAGGTACTGGTTCTTTTTATCATTTAAAACTGTCAACTCTCAGGGCACCTGGATGGCGCTCAGTTGTTGAAGCGTCTGCCTTCAGCTCAGGTCATGAGCTCAGGGTCCTGCGATCGAGCCCTGGGCCAGGCTCCCTGCTCAGTAGGGGGGTCTGCAAGTCCCTCTCTCTCTCACCTTCGCTCATATACTCTCAAATAAATAAAATGTTTAAAAAAAATAAATAAAATAACTCTCAGAGCAAAGGACATTTGTATGTGGCACAAGCTCCTTACCGTATCAAATATTAAGAGTTGCTAAAGAAGAACATATGATAATGATCATGGATATCCTCTTTTACCATTGTTCCCCTTCTGATCAAATAATCAAGTGGTCCTAAAACACAGGACGTTCCGATTCTGAACGTTTAACACAATGAAGTATTAAACAAATCTCTCCTTTAGTTCCAGAATTGCATGGTTTAAGGCAACTCTGTGCAACAGAACAACGCCAATAAACCTGTAGGCAGCACACAGAACAGCAGCAGGAGAGTCCTTCCCATTTCTGGGGACTCCCTCCGAAAGACGCAGGGCCAGTTTCAAAGCAGCAGGCTAACTACAAGAGTCTTGTTTTCCAGAACTGAAAACACGTACTTTGCCTTCAGCGTCTCCTCCTGAAAATTCCAGTGAGGATCTTCCACTAGCTGTAGTTCTCGCAACACCCTCCCGGGCTTGTAAGCTGCATTGATTATCATGCTGAGAACCTGTGGGGGTTGGGGGAGAGAAGAACAGCCATGAGCTTCAAGGGCAGCCTCTCCGGCTCAGACAAGAACCACCGCCCGGCCCGGCGACAGGTAGACAGGTATCCGCAAGACTCGTCCAACAGGTTGGGGGAAACATCTTTGGCAGCCTGACCCCGACTCAGCTCGCCATCTCCGGGCTATGGAGGGTGCTTGAGTCCAATCCCTCTGGCGGGCTGTGTGGACGGCGGGCCAGAGGGGAGAACTGACTCGCCCTCACTTTTCTGATGGAAGGAAAACCCATCTACCCCCTCCAAAGAGCCACTGGTCATCTTTAACAGGATCACCCTTCAGCAGGGTCAGCCACTGAGAATTTCATTTTATTTTTGAAACTAAATTTCAAAAGGATATCAGTAAGAGGCAACAGATTGGTGCCAACAATTTTGAACAGACTTCAGATTGTCTGTAGGGAGGCTAACCGAGTACCTGAAACTCACCTGGTGCTGGCTCAACCTACGGACCTTTCATAGGCGCACAATGCTCCGGGATGTCAGTGTTTTGAAAGACCTCCCAGAGTACCTGATACCATCCGATATCCTATTTCCTGAAACCTTCCCTTTATTCCCACTTCCCGAGTTCAAGGAAGTGCACCTGTGGTCACTCCCAGAAAGATGGGATGTGTCCCTCCATGAGCCTCAGCTGCAGGCCCTGTTCTGTTAACCTAAACATGCTCCTTGAATGGGAAGATGGAGAAGTTTGGACTCCCCTGGGGCACCCCCACCCCCCTCCCTAAGTAAATCATCAGGAAGCACAAAAGTTTCTGACTTCCAGCACGTTCCAGAGCTGCTGCCGTTTGGACAGACCACCTACGATGAACGTGAGGGTACAACGCAGCCCACAGAGGAAGGCCGAGACCCACGATGTTGAGGCCCCCGGGACGCCCCTTGCTGAGGACGTACCGTGTGTCAGCGCCCAGGTGGGAATGGCCACAGCGCCCCCCACACCCTCCTGTCACCCCGTCCAGCTGTTTCCTGTTTCAGACCCAATACCACTGAGAGGGTGAGAAGCGCCCCAACTGCTGAGACACACTGGCATTACTGTCGAAGCCCCCGCTGCTTTGGGGGAGGACACCGCACAGAATGCATGCGAGGAGGGAGGCCAGGGTTTTTAGACTGCAGGTTCACGGATCCGGTACATTCCAGAACACAACTGGTGTGCTTTGGGTCCTGATTTAATTCTGAAAAACAACGAAGCTCTCTCATATCATAACTGAAGACCCGATCCTAAAAATACTGTCCACAGTACAGTGAGTGTGGCAAGCATCTTCTCCTAGCCGGGTGGTGCTCTGCTCAAGGGTCCCACAGCTCCCCAGCAAGAGCACACAGCCAGCTGGCCAGCCAAGGCACTAGGAGGCCAGACAAGTGGTTTTGGTGGGTTTGTTTCTGTGTTAGAATAATCATCTGATTTTATTGTTTACTGTCAGTACAATTTGCAGAAATCGAGTTTAAAAATAAATCCAATTAGAACTGGTTGGAATAATGCACCAAGTATTTATCAACAGACAATAACATTTAAACTGATTCTTTTCATTGTGTTTCGCGAAGGAAGGGCCCAGGGCTACATGTTATTTGCTGCAGAGCAAAATGCATTTTGAGACGTGAAAAGAAAAGGCCTTCCAGGTTCCATTCAGCCTGGGAACAGGCAGCCATTAAATTGTCAAAAGCGTCCAATATTGAATAATTTTCCCATGGCATTTCCGATGCCACATCACGCATTGCCAAATTCAGCAGGCTCTCTACAAAACGTTGGGATCACGAGCTGAGTAATTCTCTTGTGTGTGGCGTGGTGCATCTTACAGTTTCCTCTGGGAAAACAGCTCGGCCGGCAGCCGGTACTCCCATCCAGGATCAGAATTACGGCTCCATGCACAGCGCAGAAGCTCAGGCCGCTGTGTTATGCCCTTGATCATGAAGGGTTGGGTGGACGCTGCCCCCAGTTCATGGGCAGGATGCGAAGGTCATAAACACAATTTCCAAGCAACTGGCCTAAGGATGTGCAAGGAACTCCAGAAGGAAAGTACTTTCCAGGGATGCCTCGTTGGAATTCTTGGAGTTGATGTTTGTGGAGAACACACCATCCAGAAGTGTCGACGGTGTACGACAGCGGACAGGCAGGGAGCTCTGCGGGTGAACAGATCGGGGCTCAAACCCCTTTCCCATCCTGTAGAAGGATGAGTCCTTGAGGCGCCCAACTGGCTCTCCTCCTCTGTATAACAGGGGCACTGCCATTTATCTGGTTCCTACACGGATCAGAACACTCCACCCCAACATATGCCACTTTGGCATAGGATTATTTTGAGCTGAAGGCACCGGAGTACATTGCACACGCAGCAGGAACTCTCTGCCCTGCCCCTTTGTAATCAGGAGCAGGGCAGACATTTCCCCTTTTTAAAGGTGTCCTCTCCTCTCCCCCATATCAGTGGGAGAAGGACGTCCCTTGTCACTAGAGAAAGAAAGCTGGCACCAAGAGGATGCTGCATAAACCAACCTTACTAGAAGAACCTTAACTTCCATTTCCACTAGTCTCCCGTATATTTGCCTTCCCACAATTCACCACCCTAGGAGCCCAAGCCCCCCTCTTTGTCTCTCACCTCTCCATACTTCATCACCCTTCGTTAAAACAGTATGTAAACATCAAACGTAGTGGCCTCTTTGGGTTTTCACTTCTCTTCTGTGAGGCCCCCATGTATGTGGCAACATGAGCCTTTTCTCCTGTTGATCCATTTTGTGGTCGCTTTAATTTGCAGGCCCCAGTCACTAAACTTAAGAGAGTAGAGACTTTCCTTCTCTACAACAGGGATGTTATGAGAGATAAAGGAGATCGCATCCTGGCACACAGGAAGGGTTGGAAGGTGTCCCCTTCTCAATATGCATGCAGTCCTCATGTACCCTGTCTCCTATGCCTTCACCTGCTCTGTTCCCACTGGCCCACGCTGACCTGTCAGTCTTCCCTCTTTGCAAAATACCTCTGCTCAGAAGCTCCTTGAATTTCTTCTTACTGATTTCTTCTCAGAACTAACCTCATAAAAATGGTCTATACTTCCAATTCTTCTTCTTCGATCCCACTCTCACCTGACCCAAACCTGGTTTCCTCTCCAACCATGACACAGAAATGCTCTGGAAAGGTCACCAAGGACCTGCCACCAAATCCAATTAGCACTCCGGCCTCATTAGGCATCTGAGGAGCGTGGCCCTGCATTCCACCACCTGGGCCGGCAACACCTGTCTCTCTGCTTCCCTCCCCTGCTCCTCAGACATGAGCGCTTGTTCAGAAAGTGGGGAGTGGATCAGGTGTGTGGGGAAGGGCAGGGGTGGGGGTCAGAGAGAGGATGGGGAGCACAGGTAAGTGCTGCCCCCTTCACACACCCGGTGGGGTGCACAGGAGCCGCTCTGCAAGCGCAGGATTCCTTCTCCCACCCCTTCCCTTTTGGGCACAACTGCGGGGCACTAGGAAGGTTATGCAAATCGAGGGGATTTTTTTTTTTGTTCACATCACGAAATTACGCGATTCCATGATTTCCTTTTGCATTCATGATCGTGGAAACTCCCAAAGCACCAAAGTAATTTAGATAATTTCCAACCTCGACTCTATCATACGATCAAAGTCAGAACAATGTTGAAAGTGCAGGGAACCACTTAATAAGAAAACGAGTTCTCTGAGTGTCGAAATCAGAAAACACTCTAGAAGGCAAATATGGCTCCCACAGCTTGAGTTCTGCTGATTGAATGGAAAGAGACACGGTCTCCACTCTGAAAGGACATCATTTGCTAAATTCTCATGACTGCAGGGAGGCCTCTCGTTGGGGGACACGGGCTCCTACGGAAACATGAAGCACAACATTCCCTCTTGGGGGGAGGCGAAGACACAAAGGAGCCTCGCCACATGCTTGCCCTGCTTCAACACACCTGGTCCCCAGTCTCTCCATGGCTACGGCACTTAGCTCTTCACAGGAATGCGGACCAGCAAACGCCCTCATGGGCCTAGAGCATGTCTCCTTTTCAACTGCAAGATCAGATGGAATGGAGCTGATTTTATAAATAAGTGGGATTTGTTGTTTTTTTTTTTTTTGTGAAATGATAAAGAAGGGTTCCTGATTCATCAGCAGTTTTGAAACGAGCCTTGAAAAGAAAACACAGCACATAACCTTTTCAAGTGATTTGCCCCTTAAAACGAGGTGTCTTTTTTTTTTTTTTTTTTTGGTCTCCTCCAAATGCAGACGGCTCGGTGCACGATACTTTGAAACTGCTGCCTCTAATGCTAGATGTTACCTGACGATGACCTTTACGCTCATCATTCCTTCTGGTGTCAGTTAACAATTTTAATGGTAACAGTAATAATCAGATGTATTTCACCAAGCGGAGAACCCCGTTGCTTTGGCCAGAACTGACCCTCTCCCTTTATTTTGCTCCTCAAAGGAAGGCTAACCCCCCCACTGGCCACCCACCACCCCCAAGGGGAGGCACCCCCTGTCCCAGCGGAGAGGCAAGGGAGCACCAGTGCTCCCTGCAAGGTAGTCTCTCCCCCAACCCAACCCCATATCAATGAACTCAAGGCTTAATTGCTTCAACTTGATTAAAAGACCATTCCCCAAGAGAGGCCATAATCCTCAGGAATTCTCTACCTCCTCCTGGAAGACCAACAGGAGAACTCCATCATATCCTAGAGCTTCATTCGCCTCAGTCACCAGAAACCCAATGCTCCTAGAACATTCCTTCGATCTGGAATCCGATTCCTACATGGCTCTGCATTTCCCCCACTCGGACCCAAAAATCCACAGGTGGTCCCCAAACCTCTGTCAGCCGCACTGGGACATGACCCTAGTACACCACCGCCTCTGTATCTGTGCACATTAGAGTCACCATGAAACAGAGGCTCTAAGTCCTCCTTAGCTGGCATTTTCAGAGTCTCTTCTGCGGGCAGGACTCTTCGCACTGGACACACGGACGTGAGTGAACATGTTAGATTTCCAGACTCCTTGTGCTTTGTGCTCCTGTTGGCCCTCTCCTCCACACACAGACACAAGCGCATGCCACCCCCTTACTACGCTGAGCAGGAAGGCAGGATCACAGGCCGGTTGTTTGGGAGAGCACATCTGAAACGGGGAGCAGAACCTTCCCCAACACCTTTGCAACGCGACACCAACATTGTCAGGATCGGAGGCACCAAGACACGCAAACCTTGTACCAGGTGACCAAGGGCCACACAGATCTGCAGACAGGTCTTCAGGAGACCCCAGTGCCTGTAGCAGGCATGGGGTACGGGAGTATCTGGGATAGAAGAGGATGACCCTGGGTGACCGTGAGCACACCGAGCACGGAGGTTTGCCATGATGAACATCACCTCTCACTGCCTGTGCCTGCAGGCCCCATCCCCCATGGGGCTGGGCCCAGGGGTCCCTAAATGCCCCAGACCGAGGAGCCATCCTCAGGGTCCACCTGTCCCCTCCTCTCAGAACCTGCTCATCCTGGGTCCCCCATGGGGATGACGTACTGGGCTAGGCCAGCCACGGGCTCGGGCTCCAGCTTCTGACAGGTCAGCTACTTCCTCTGCTGCACTTTCTGGAATCGAGGCCAGGACTCACCTTTAGTCCTCAAAACCCCAGTCTGATGCTCGGAAGGCCTGCTGGTCAGAGACGGAACAGACATGCGTGGGCCCTCACACTGGCCAGAACCTGCCCACCTGCTAGTCCACCCTCTTGGAGTTCAGCCTCCTGTTCTCTGCCTGCACTTAATTTCCCCAAGGCCGGCTCCGTCCACATGCACACAGGCAAGCTACCTCTGAGCAGGCCGGACGGGGGCAAACAGCTCTCGCTCTGCATTTCCCAAAGACGTGCAAACCCTTAATGGCCAACACCACCGACGGCCTGAGAAGCAAACGTGCTCTGTCTTTGCTCCAATTATCTCATTCTCTTTAAGTTAAATGCACTTTGAAATCGTGGAGGTTCTGGTGCTGAAGGAAGCATATTAGCATAAATATTGGCTTGTTGGAACTCACGTTTTTCTTGCACTCGCAGAACTGTAGTGCTTGCTTTTTCCCCCACTTCTTCTCTTCCTGCTTCATGCATTTTTCTGAACCTCAGCAGAAAACTAGTTTTGTCATCAGAAAACTGCTCTGGCCTGGCTCTTATATTTGGCTGCTGGCACCTGTCGGAGAATCGATCAGGGATAACCACTGTTGACTCTCAAAACTCATGTAGGAAAGTCAAGCACGTCCTAAAGATGGGCCGAACCTGGGGCCATTGTGTCTCCCATTGGAGCCAGCAGGCGACTCAGGGCCGCAGTTTCATCACCGCGACCTACAGTCCTGCAGGCGGCCTCGAAGGCACCGGGTTTTTGCGAAGCCTCCCCGTTCCTTTCTGATCACTGCTGACAAACGCTGGCTCAAACGCAGGCAGGCCTCACTGTACTGCAATCCACTCACGGGCCGGACTGTGGAGGGTTCAGTTCTCAGGACACGGGTGTGACTTCGCATCATGACAGGAAATCTTCCCACAGAGTCCTGCTTTGATTTCGTCCTTGGTCCAGTCCAATGTGTGTGGGGGTCTGAGGTCAGAGCTGCCTCACACGGAGCCACCCAGTGGTCCCTCCACTCACCTTGGCCCTTCAGAGGCATCCCTGCCCACCACCCCCCTCCACAGGCCTCAAGCCCCATCTTTCTGTGGCAACAAACGTCTCATCTGTGGGACAGATGAACCTGCCCCTGGAGCTGGGCCAGGCCCGCACTGTTTGCTTTTAGGACTCAGGGCCCAGCGGCAAGAGTGAGCTGCTTGAAACGAAAGCAGGTCTAGGCCGCTGAGGACACCTGTCGGGGCCCAGGACAAGGCCCATAGGGACTCCCCAGGGAGACTGTGCCCTTTGTGTCTATCCTACGAGGCCCTTTTGCTCGAGGGGCTGTAAGCCTTCATCCCAGGGCAGCACCGAAGCCCCTGGCCTTCTGTAGGCTGCCCGCCCCTGTCCCCACAGACTGCGTGGGAATTCCACCTGCACCAGCCCCGTCAGGCACCTGAGATGCTCACCTCCCTAAAACAGTCCACTGGCCTGTTGGTCTGTCCTGCTGGATCCGAAGCTTGATGAAGGACGGGAAACTCCTTCTGAACATTTTATATGTTAAATCCTCCCAAATAAGTAACCACAACAACAGCCCAATCAGTTTCTCTGCACAGTTTCTTCTCAACTACAACCTCAATTTCTTCTCTACAACAGATTTTTGTTTTCTAAATATATGTCTTTAACTGCTAATTCTGCCGATGGCCTAGAAAAAAGCAAACGTGCCCCGACTCTGCTAAAACGATCTCATTCTCTTGAAGTAGAATGACATCTGAAACCACACGGAGGTTCCCGTGTTGAGGGGACAGCATTAGCCGGGTGTCGCTCAGAGGGCTCCTGTCCTCCCTCTGGGGCGGGCAGTGCGCATTCCTCACAACGCCAGAGAAGGCAAGCCTCCCGCAAGCCAACTGCCGGCCACCCAGTCCTGTCTCACCCACCAGGCAGGCCAGATCTCTGTCTCTTGTTCCTTTCAAAAATATGACATACTCTTCTATGCTCATGAGTTGTCCCTAGTCTAAGGACCCACACGCCTGCCACACGTGACCACCTTCTCGCCTGGACACCTACCCACACAGTCACGGCTGTGCTCTGCATGGGAGGCTCTACTCCCTCTGCCCAAGCCAGATCAGGGTCCCTTGCCATCTGTTGGTCACTCCCTGCTCTGTGCCCCCAGAGCGCCCTGCTCCACGCCCTGACTGTCCCTCCAACTTAGAATTACTCCATCTCCCTAGCAGGGCTGTGAAGCCCCAACAGGAAGATGGCAGACAGGCTTGTGTTTGGACTTTGTGCTGTGTGTGGCTCCGAGAAGAGGCCTAATAGACATGTGTTCAGTGGACACATGGACTATTGTGCCCCAGGAATTAAAACACATTCATCATGGTACAGTAACGATAGGGAAGATCGATGCAGGGTCCTCTTTCTTAGGAGAAAGCACGGGTACACGTGATAAAAGCAGAGGTCACGTTCCCAGAACAGTTCAGCACAGTTCCTGAATCCCCGGCCATCTCTGCACGGGGTCTGTGGCAAGGGAATAAAAACGGACCAGAGAGGAAATCCTCCATCAATGTAATGAGGATTCACTGCTTCCTGCAGGTCGATCCCCAAAAGCAGGAGAGAAATGGGAAAGAATAACATCAAAATGATGCGTGGCCCGGGCGTTTCCCATGACGCAAACACCACGCAGGTGCCTGGAGCCCGTGACACACTTAGCATGCGCCTCCTCCACGCAGGTGCCCCGCTGGGTACGGCAGATGGAGGGGGAGGCGATGCCACCCCGACGGGGCCAAGGCGTGTCCATGCTCAGCAGCACCCCTCTTGTCCATCCAGGCTCATCCACCTCTTGAGAGAAACCTCCAGTCTGCAGTCACAGGCCCTCACCCGCACACAGCCTGTCAGTCCCCTTCCCCAGGTTCTTTATTCAAACCCTACATTTCTCCGGGCCCAGGGGAGGAAGATCTGGCCCTCCCGCCAGCCTGTAAGTCTTTCGGGGCAGGGATGCCACCTTCCGTCTTTGTCTGACCAGCTCCAGCCCGAGAACGGAGAGAAAACAAGGGCTCGGAAGGTGTCACAGAAACGGATTCAGATTCCTGCTGCCTCCTTCAGAAACTCTATCTACACCCTAGACACCGTGTGGAAATAAGTCAACTCTGCCCGCCGTGCGCATGCTTTACCTCTTTCAGAACCAGCACACATTTGCCGGGTCCCACCGACTGAGGTAGCTCTGCGATTCTTCCTTTGTTCAGGTAAGGGCCTGAGAAACACCTGTGGTTGATAAAAAGCTGAGGACAGCAGTATTTCCCGTTGACAGTACCTGCGGGGAAGAGCAACACAGCTCATGCTTTAGGAGCCAACAAAACACCTGCTTAATCCACTTAGTTGGCAAAACTACCCAGAGGCACACTGTGTCTTAATATCAGAATATTTTATAAACAATAGCTTAGAAATTCTGGTTATTTTTTCTACCATATAAATGACCTTTTCTGTTTATGATACAGGATTCAAGGCACATTGAAAGATGCTAAAACCCAGGCAATGACAACTAATGCATTACTATGCAGCAAATAAAAAAAAAGTAACAAAATTAAAAAACAAAACACCAGCTCCACAGCTAAGCTCCCCTGGGTTTTCTAGCCCAGAAACTCCCCCACTTTCTCTTGCCCTTCCCCGAACCTTGTGTTTATCATTCCCATGCAGGTCTACACACTTGACCACATACACAGGTGTATGTGCATCAACAAGCAACATACAGTATTTGGGATATTTAAAAAATATTCCATAAATGGTTTCCTGCACCATTTTGTTTGTTTGACCTGAAGGTTCTAAGATCCACCCAAATCGGTAAAGGTATATGCAGAACGTCCACCCCTTTCTCACTTCTGTGCATGATTGTTACGTGCACACAGCACAAACGAGCCGTCCATGTCTTACTGATGGACAAGTCACTTCCCCTGGTCAGGACTGTGGCCAGCGCTCTACTGAATACAGTTGTAAACACCTGTTCTGCTGACGGGCAAGAGGGCTTTCCCCGTGTGTAACAAGGAGGGGAATTGCTCAGCCACGGGTCGGCATGTTGTCACTGAACCACACGTGGTCAAGATGACCTCTATGCAGACTTTCCCAATGTACACTCCCACGAGTGCGGCGGAGGGCTTGCCACCATCCCATGCCCAAGCCAACCCCAGACATGGCAGGGCTTCTTCCTTTTGCCAGCCTGATAGATGTGCACTATACCTCCCAGGGGGTTAAATCTGCATTTCCCTCACTCTGCTGTTGATTTAGCAGGTTGACGGTCTAGTGTCTCAAAGGGCCGTGGGGAAGAGTGGAAATAGTACACGGTAACCTATCACCCTAAAGTTTCCTGACGTCTGTAAATGGAGAAAGGGGTCTCGCTGCCAGCCAACACTCGCCCTCCCGCACGGAGCCCTAAGCTCCGCTAACAGGGGTATTTCTGTACAGAAGCTGTTATGCGTTTTGGGATGGTCATTTAACGGTCCAGGAAGGGTTGTCCTCATAGGACTTCATCTAAGAAGCAACAGGGGAAGGAGGGAGAAATGTTATTTTTGTGAGAGTAAGACAAAAGGAGTAAAGCAACAATTATAGGCTCTGAAAGAAGAGCTGACACGGTTCTTTTAAAACCATTCTGAAGTTTTGAATTCTATACAACAAAATTAGGCAAAAAAAATTTTAAAAAAAAGATTATGTCCACAGCTGCACACACAGGAAATTTTCTGGTAGGATTACCCTACCCAGAACTTTAGGAAAAAAAAAAAAAATTTTAGTAAGTACTCCTAAAAATGCTCTCCTTCCTAGAGCTTCGACTACTAGGACTGTTCCATGGCATATAGCTTTGAAGCCTGGAAGAACTCAGAGCAGGTTTCATTTTGGCTAGAAAACAGAATTCTTAATCAAATATATTATTTAATGTACAAACACATCTATAATCGGATTTGTTGTCTACGGGGAATTCACATTTGTGTTTTCAAAGGTTATTTTAAGATGTAGAACACTACACACTAAAAAACATATATTATTCACTCTCAGCTTTTAAACACAGAGGATTTTTAGGAACGATTCAAAAGGCCCGCAGGGACAAGTATGAACAAATAATGGAAAAATGGAAGTAGGGGTGGTAGAAAATGTCAACAAAAATGAGTGCCTAATAATGACATTTTTAATTCTTTCTCCTTGCACATGACCATCCGTGACATACAACTCTCATAATTTCCAAGTAACACGTGGGCTCTTTCCTGCAGACTGAGAGAATTATCCAGAGTTACCAACCAAAGGACAGAAGAGGCAGAGAGAGTTTGGTATAGAGATTTTTTTAAAAGTAGTTATGTGTTAATACGTAGCAACAGAGACAAGGAGAATGAACTTAGAGCTGAGATATTCTCATATTGACCTAAAAATACATGCATATCTCTGCTCCCCGACTAGGAAGGGACAGCTAGCTGTCGATGGCTCATTTACCTGTGGTATCCAGGTGAGACAACAAACAGAGGTCATGAGGTATTTTCTCAACAGGCACTGTGGATGGCAATCTGTGGATCAAGAAAACATAACGATCATGGGTTGCACAGTCTAGAAGAAACTTGCACGTTCCAAAGTCTTCTCATAACTTAAAGTGACTATCACGGAAAGCCAAGCACGCAATAAGAGAGGATGGGTGCAGCAAGCAGCAACGCCAGTACAAACGGGTAAGATCGCTGCAGACTGGCTGTCCCCAAATTCTTGAAATAACCCTAAGAAGCCAACGGAACACCTGCCCCTCAAGGAGTTGTCGCTAAGCCCTCATGTTCTTCAGGTCGCTGCTGGGTTTGTCTCTTGCTATAGAATCATAAAAGTGCCCTTAATTATATTTTAGACATGAAGAAACATCAACTTGCGCAGAATTTAACGGAAGTCAGACTTCTCTTCTTCAACAGAACAAACCAGTACATTTTACAAACTAGTGTCTGAGAACCACTTGGCCTTTGATTTTTGGGGTCTGTGTTGTGTGGGTCACAGCCACTGTAGAAAGGCCTTCAAAGAAAGCCTATGAACTGATGGGTCCTAAAACATGACACAGGCCTGTCCTAGGGCAGAGCCTTGTGTTATAGTCCAGTAAAAAATTTGCTGAATAAACATTTGAAAAATATCGCCATGGGGGGAAAGAGGTGCGTTGGGTGTTACATGGTACCCAGGATGGTGGTGTGGAAACCATACCACTGAAAAGGAACACAAACTCAAAGCAAACCATTATGAGATCTTGGTGGGGTCATCTTCGCACCGGTTCTCAAAGTGGGGTCCCCAAGCTAGCCAACGGCACCACCTGGGAACTTGTTAGATGCGCAGATGCTCAGGCCCCAGTAAAGACCTCCCGAGTCAGGGATGTGAGAGATGGGGGCCCAGCCGTGTGTGTGTGTGTGTGTGTGTGTGTGTGTGTGTGTGTGTGATCAAGCTGTTCAGCTGACTGGTATGAGTGCAGCATGAGGACTACGGATCCACAGACCACACGTTGAGGAGTTAGGAGTTCAGATCTGGATTCAAGGATGGGATCATTTATTATTAACTCCCTGTTTCAATGTTATCCGGACCAAACTAGAGTCTGATTATTAACCGGCTACACCATGTTGAGGAATGAATGTATGAAAAATGCCCACAAAATTGTGTTTCACATTCAAATAGCAATGCAGTTATTATTCGTTTTCATTTTATTTAAGTTGAAATCTGGCTACCTGAAAAAATGCTGTTCTCAAATCCATTCTCACCAGTGTGTTTTTATTAAGAAAACAGGACCACCTGATGAAAGATGTCTATTTTTGCGTACCTCAGATATTCTTCAGTATATAAAAACGCTGCTAACGGTTGAAGTTTTTCAAAAACGTACTGCATGTATGGACACCACCCGATCACCCTCCTCCTCCCTAAAATTACAACTGAAACAAAGGGTAACTTGCACTGACTCAACCATGCAGGACCCACATGTGTTTTCACAAGAAATCTAATTTAATCTTCAGGAAACCCCCGAGAAACAGGTGTTTCACAAATGAGGCCTTGGAGATGCAGAGAAATAGAGCAGCTTCCTCAAGTCTCCCCGCTGGGAACCTGTGGAGCTGCCCTAGGACCCCAAGTCGCCCACCTGTGGCGCCCATGTGCAGGGTGGGGGTAGCATAGGGGGGGCACATTGCAGAGAGCGGTCACTACCAGCATGCAAGGCCAGAATGCCCTCCAGGTAGGCGGAGGTGGAGCAGACGGAAAAATAATCTGAGAATAGATGCCTTGAAGATCAGAGCCTGTATCTTGCCCATCACAGCACTATTTCTAACTGTCCTCTCTATGGCGGTGCCAACTGTGAACTAACTCCCCCCCTCAAAAAAAAGACAGCCATGCTTCCTCTCCTAGATCGTTTATCCCATAAGTTGGGGAGGAAACAAAAACAAGAACTTACTGTTTTTCTGGTTGCACAACTGCAATCTTTCTCTTCTTTTGTGCTGGAAAACAGGCAAGAAAAGACAAAGGGACAGTTAGCTTCGTTCACTAGTTGGGTAAAGGTTTTTTTTTTTTTTTTTAAACGTCTTCATGTAAAGTTTTACATGTGTCAGTTTTAAAGGAAGAATTTAAACACTACAAAGTTCTTTCATCTGGGCCACAACTTTATCTCAACTTCTGCTAGCGTTAAAATAGACTTTGACTCTGGGTGCCTGGGTGGTGCTCTTGGTTGAGCGTCTGACTCTTGGTTTTGGCTCAGGTCTTGATCTCGGGGTCCTGAGATCGAGTCCTGTCTCGGGCTTGGCACTCAGCAGGGAGTCTGCTTGTCCCTCTGCCTCTCCCCTTCACTTTCTCCCTCCCTCTCTCTCAATCTCTTGCTCTAAGATAAACAAATAAACTTGAGACTCTGACTCATCAGAAATGAAGTCTCACTAGAATTTACTGCATTTAATCTTATCACTACACCAGCTACTTTATTCTAAAATGTGCTTTTAATAAGAAAGAGAGAGCATGCGTATCACTTCTCACATGAATCCACCTGGTAAGATAAATTGTTCAAGCGACATTATCCAAAATGATTTTTTTCCCCACAGAAAGTGTGGTAAATCAAATAATGTTACCGTAACAGCACACTCCCAAATTAGGATTAGAGCTGTGTTTTTAAACGAAAACATTTTATTGCTGAAAGGAAGACTGGTGCCTCATAAATATGTCTGACGAATATCGACATAAACCAGCCAGTAAGAATTCTTTAGATAAGAAGATTTGTAGTTTATATTTGTAATGGATTTGAATCACCTTACCAAAGATAGACCAGGGGGCTTTGGCATCTATTAATTTTGAGACAGACAGTCCCATATCCTCCAGCATAAATGTTAATTCCAACAAAACTTCTAAAGCTACTTGAGTTTGGTGGGTTTAGACTTATAGTTTGCCTCTTCAAAACAAATGTACACATATGAAATGAAATGAAGAATAAGAGAGATAGCCATTGAACTTTCATTTATTCTTGAATTTATTTTGTATTTGGTTCCAGTTATTACTATGAATAACTATAAACTTTGTAATGTCTAAAGTGAAAAATGAGTGTGGACGACCTTGTCTAAGGCTTTGCTACCAAGGGTGGGGATGCCTGAACCGCAGGACGTTTTGGTAAGGAGCCATACACAACAGACCTGAGCGCAACACACACCAAGGTGGAAACATCATTGTGTTCACCATAGCAGGTATATGACTGTGCTCCAGGGAACCTCGAAGCACCTGTTGCCTCCCACATCCATGCGAAGGAGAGAGAAAGAGGGCACAAGACAGAAGTCTCTGTCTAAGATACAGCTAAAACACAGGAGACTGGCCCCTCCCACGACTAAAACCAGGGGGCACCTGACCTGGCTCTCGGGCCAACTGAGTCAAGAACCTGTGGCTCCTGAAGTGAGAGGAAAAGAACAAAATGCCCTTGATATGGAAAAAATTATTCTGTGCTCAAAATTTCAGAAATGTGTTAAAGTGAGGACAAGACAATACTCTCATTGGATCAGGTTTGTTGAACAGTGCGGTGTACAGACGGGAGAGAAGAATGCCTTAGAATCCACCTATCATCTGGGCCACCTACTGTGTTTCACACAGACAGTGCACCATCCTACTCTTAATGGATATAGAGTGAAACTCTTAAGTGTCCTTCAAAATCTGCTGACACCGGGGAACTGGAAGCCAACTATAGATGGGACTTCCCTTCTAGAAACTTTCTGAGCATTTACATAATTGAGTCATATATAGGATGCTAGCTAGCAAGAAGTAAAGCTAGCACACAAATTACATAAAGAAAATACCAGAAATATCTATTTCACAAAAAAATTAAAAACATCTTATTTTTAAGGACTCATTATTTTTAATTTTTTAAAATTTAAATTCAATTTAATTAACATATACTGTATTACAATTTCAGAGGTAGAGTTCAGTGACTCCTCAGTTGCATACAACACCCAGTGCTCATCACATCATGTGCCCTCCTTAATGCCCATCACCCAGGTAACCCATCCCCCCTACATGCTCCCCCCCCCCAGCGACCCTCGGTTTGTTTCCTAGAGTTAAGAGTATCTATGGTTTGTCTCCCTCTCTGATTTCATTTTTTCTTCCCTTCCCATATGATCTTCTGTTTTGTTTCTTAAATTCCACATATGAGTGAAGCCATATGATAATTGTCTTTCTCCAATTGAATTATTTCACTCAGCATAATACCCTCCAGTTACATCCATGTCAATGTAAATGGTGGGTATTCATCCTTTCTGGTGGCTGAGTAATATTCCATTGTATATATAGACCACATCTTCTTTATCCATTCATCTGTCAAAGGACATCTGGGCTCTTTCCATAGTTTGGCTATTTTGGACATTGCTATAAATGTTGGGGTGCAGGTATCCCTTTGAATCACTATGTTTGTGTCCTTTGGATAAATACCCAGTAGTGCCATTACTGGGTCATGGGGTAGCTCTATTTTTAACTTTCTGAGGAACCTCTACACTATTTTCCAGCATGGCTGCATAATTTGAAATAATACTTTTGGTAAACATAAGGGTGGGAAAAATGCCACGATTTATTAGTTTGGAAGATTTTTAAAAGGTACCACCTCAGGATATTGACCTCTAATAATAGAAGTTAAAACACACACTGTTGTACATACTTAGAGAGAGACAGAGTTAGTTGCTGGGTTAACTACTAATACTGCTTTAATTCGATATTTCTGTGATCAGAAGGATGTGAGATATAATGCAATCTTTAAAGTAGAGCTGAAATCTCACTGGTTAGTGTCAAGAGTAGTTAAGTTTTTATATGTTATGTCAATAATTTATTAGGACCAACTATGATTCTTTTATGGTAAACCTCATGAGAAAAATCCGTTCTTTCTTAGACATGATACAGAAGTGTAGTATTTGGGGGCACCTGGGTGGTTCAGTTGCTTAATGTCCAACTCTTGGTTTAGGCTCAGGTCATGATCTCAGGGTTGTGAGATCTAGCCCTGCGTGGAGTTCTGTGCTGAGCATGGAGCCTGCTTGGGATTCTCTCTCTCCCTCTGCCTCTTGCCCCTCTTCCCGACCCCACATGTGCACTCTCTATCTCCCCCCCTTAAAAACAACAACAAAAAAACAATAAAAGCCAACAAAAAAACATAGTATTTAGCTTAAATTTTCTCTAATCAAAATAATCAACTGTATATAAAACTGAGTGAATATTTATTTTATATATATTTATATATTTAAGGAAATTTTTTTTAAATTTTTTTTATTTACTTATGATAGTCACAGAGAGAGAGAGAGAGGCAGAGACACAGGCAGAGGGAGAAGCAGGCTCCATGCACCGGGAGCCCGACGTGGGATTCGATCCCGGGTCTCCAGGATCGCGCCCTGGGCCAAAGGCAGGTGCCAAACCGCTGCGCCACCCAGGGATCCCTATATTTATATATTTATATAATATTTATACATCTTATTATATTTATATTATATTTTATCTCTGCCACCACTCCGTGACCTTCACCTGCCTTATCATTATGACTTAGTCTGTCGATCTATGAGATGCTTCCAAATACCCATCTCATGAAGACACTGAAAGCATCCAAGAGATAAAAACACTGGTGCTCTGTGGGAAATCTAACACCAGTTCTGTTTCTTACAACTTGGCTGAAGTCTCTTTACAAAACTATTTACCTCCCCATGCCCCCAGATATTGTCTGCAGGAGCTCCAAACTGGATGATACTTACAGACTGTTTTGTGTGGTGTGGTCAAAGGGTAAGAGTTCGCTTCACACCAGCCCACTGGGAAGATGTCCATGGATTCCACGTCAACAATAAACTCTGGAGCAGGAGTCTGCAGACCTGGATCAGAAAAGTCAAGATGACAGGTACATATTTTACCACAAAGAGCCAGAAGGAGAGAAGAAACGTGCAAGCATCCCTGAGATGAGGGAAAACACTCCCTGGACTGTTCAACACAACACCGAGGACAGTCTTATGACAGATACTGGCACCTGAAAATACCAAACAGCAAAGTACAAGGTGGGGGTGGTTCAAATAAAGCAGAGATCCAGAAAATCCAAGATGTTTTCTCCTGCAAATGGCAGGAAGAGGATTGGGGGGCAGAATGTGGGAAGAACTGGCATTGGAGCCAGAAAAGCTGGCCGGAGGAACAGCCTGCCCTTTTCCTAAAAGTATCTTTGAAACCAAGGAAATGGGGGATCCCTGAGTGGCTCAGCAGTTTAGTGCCTGCCTTTGGCTCAGGGTATGAACTGGGGTCTCGGGATCGAATCCCACATCGGGTTCCCTGCAGAGAGCCTGCTTCTCCCTCTGCTTCTCTCTCTGTGTGTCTCATGAATAAATAAATAAAATCTTAAAAAAGAAGAGAAAAGAAACCAAGGAAACGTGCTGGAGCTGGGTGGGGGCCCCAGCACACATGTGTACGCCACCAGGACACACTTCATCCAACACCAAGCAAAGGCCGACCCTCAATGAAGGAAAGTTAACACCACCGCTCAAAGGAACTAGGCCGGTATAGCTTTGAGCAGGCAACACAGACCACACAATTTCTCTAGGGAACTTATTCACTTCTCGGGTTGACCAGGGTTACTTGTTTTGAACTCCATTGGTGGCCTGCAGATCATGAAAGCCAATTACAGAGAAGTGTCTTTTTTAGTGGGATCCACCTAACTATCACCCCGTTTCATGATCCTACTAATGCCTGTTGATAAATTGGCACCACAGCTAAGAGACTCTGAAACAGAGAAGAGATTTGCATGTAATATGAGCAAAGGTTTCAAGAGTTCTGGCCACAGAGGATAAATCTAGAACCCAGAAAACTGGTAAAAGGAAGAAAATTCTACACTGAATCAATAGTTATTTGGAGAAAAAACACCGAGAGAAAACACTTGTGAACTAAGAATCAAAAGATAAGAACTCTGTTAATAGACAGGGACTCACGGGCTCTGACCTCTTACTCTCATTTTGCTTTGGTTTCTTCGCTGAGAATCAAGATGGAAATGACACCATAGAACTCACATACCCATCCACATCGCCACATCACATCTGATGAATTTTAAATCATATTGCCCCCCAACACTTAACTTCACGAAGCTCAATTCCAGCAGACAAAAAATGGTCCCAACCACTGGAACTCTGACGTTCGCCACACTGGCTCCTCCTACCCCTGACTTCTCATCGTAAAGAAGATACTGGAAAAAGGAGCGTGCTGTTTGATACACGTGGGTTCTAGTGCTAACCCAATATACTGCTGCACAGAAAGTGCCCTGAACATGCTGGCACACACATCATACCATCACCATTAGTCACTATCAACTTTCAACTCCTTCCCCCAAAAAAGCAATTACCATGAAAAAATACTTTTTGTTTTATTCTCCCATAACTTGAATGTAAATAGGTTTATGGGAATTATTTCTCAACACAGTTGAGTGGATGTAAATCACTAGGTTCCCATTATGACTCAACCAATGCTTAACCTACCTACTTACCAAAGAGACCATCAAATAAAATAAGACACATGTATCTTGGCTACTGAACAGTTTTGGTGACGGGCTGAATTCACCCACGACATACATCTGTATTTCCAGACTCACATTTAGGTACAAATAAGATTTCCAAGGTCAAAGTAGTGCTTCAAAAAGAAGCACGAAGGTGAGCTTTATAGCCTGTTCCTTCCTGAATTACGACTTTCATGTTCCACTGTTCTCCTGGTTCAGACATCACTTGGTGTTAATGCTTTAATATATACACTTCTGCAACAATGTATATAGTAATATATTTATAAGGCTATCTTTACCATACTTTATTTTTAAAAGATTTTATTTATTCATTTTATAAGTGAAAAAAAAGATTTTATTTATTCATTCATGAAAGACACACACACAGAGAGAGAGAGAGAGAGAGGGAGAGAGGCAGAGACACAGAGGGAAAAGCAGGCTCCTCACAGGGAGTCCAATATGGGACTCTATCCCAGGACCTGAGGATCAGGCCCTGAGCCGAAGGCAGATGCTCAACCACTGAGACACCCAGGTGTCCCACCATACTTTAAAAGTCTTTGGTCATGCTCTGCATTCAAAACAAATATTTAGGAGCTACCATGTGTTAGCTACTAGGTCCTCAAGAAAGTTATAACCCTGACTTCCCTGCACTTCCTAATCTAACCCATTAAGGCATCTATTAAATGGGAACAGATGGAAAAGTGGGTTATTTATCACCCAGGAACATTTTCCTGACCCTGAAGCTTTTCCAATCCTATTCTGAATGATGGGTACCAATTTCCTATTTCCCTTTATCAGCCTTATGCTTCCGGATACATCTGGCTAGACTCGGAATAATCTTTTTTAAAAAACAACTCGTTATTTTCCAAGATCAGGGACCCACTCGCTTACAAAATAATCCATTAAAAGTGGATGTGATGCTCCTTTCGTGATTCTAGGATTTCCAAAACTCCCTATGCAAAGCTTAAGGGAACTACTGCAATGGTTGTAACCATTTTATAGGACAGCCTCTGTGAATAACACAAGGCCATGTTCACCCTGGACTTCTCTCTGCTGCATCAGTCAATATGGATTCTACTCATTCATCCTCATCCAGCACCTTCATTTCAAAAACCACCAGGAAGCCCCAATCTCCATCTAAGGGGAGGTCCTTAGCTACATTACAGTAGGCTGTATGACGGGATATGCTGCCACTATAAAAAAAGAACGAGAAACCTCTTTGTATACTTACATGTAAAGACGTATATGTTGAGTCAAAGAAAAGCAGAGTACAGAACACTGTGTATATATAGTATGCTACCATCTGGTTAAAAAGGGGGAAATAACATATATTTATATGTGCATAAGATAAATCGGGAAGGAAGTGCAAAATACCCACACAGTGGGCGTCTGCTGGAAAAGGAGCGGAGACACCGAGGGGTGGGGGCAGCTGCGGGAGAGAGACTCTGACCACGGATACTTCCATGTATTTTTGCAAATGAATCAACTAATTTATAATCACAACCTAACCTCACTATCACCACAATAACCGCACAACGCAAAACGCCCCGAGAAGGAAGGAGTCTCCTGCATGAACTGTGCTGCCACAGAGGCCAGATCAATGAAGGCCAAGTGACCTTAACAGGAAATAAGACTGGGGTGCCTGAGGGGCTCAGTTGGTGAAGCGTCTGCCTTTGGCTCAGGTCGTGATCTCAGGTTCCTGAGATCAAGCCCTGAATCGGGTTCCCTGCCTAGCAGGAGTCAGCTTCTCCCTCTCCCTCTGCTGCTCTCCCCCCACTTGTGCTCTCTGGTTCTATCTCTCTGTCAAATAAATAAATAAAATCTTAAAAAAAAAAACAGGAAATAACACCAAACTACAATGAGTCATTCTGCTGCTAAGAGGACAGGATGCTCCATACTCACAAAGCATATAAATTTGTTGAGAATCACTTGGGAACCTTACAGAAGCTCTGCAATTTGCCACATCCTGAGACTGTCACCCGATCAACGGATCCCTCGTCCCTTCCACGAAGTTCCACCCGCCCTCCTAAAGGCAGAGACTCCGGGAACAGAGTCAGAACGAGCCCTGCACCTCAGTTAAAAGGCAGGAAGGGAAGAAAGGCAAGAGGTATTTAAGGAAGCAAGTTAACCTCGCTCAGCACCCTCATGAGAAGTCAAAAGTCACAGCAAACTGGGACGGGCTCGAGCGTGGGATGGACAGAAAAGGCGCCAGAGGGGAGAGAGTGAGTGGGTGATCCGGGAGCAAGCAGGACTGGGTGCTGGAGTCCCGGGTGCTGTGTGTCTGGCTCCTTCCACCTGCAGAGGCCTTTCTATAAAACCTGACTGTCAAGCCCCTCGTCAGCTGTGGAGCCAAATTCCTAAGGAACAAAGAGACTGGCAAAACTGCAGATGGCAAGATCAAGATTTGATAGGAAACAGGCAATCTGGAGGAAAACAAAAGAAATGGGATCAAATGTGTGTGGAGAGAGACAGAGAGACTCACAGGACTGCAAACACCCACAAGCAAGGATTTCAGGTCTGACACATCCTCAAGTGTTTAGTACTTACAACAACCCTAAGGGATAGGGGCTAGCCTCGTCCCCACTGTACAGATGAGGAAGCTGAGGCCCAGAGAAAGGTCCAAGGGCAGCAAGTGGCAGATCCAGCGTATGACCCTGGATCCTCTAACCCTCCAGGCATCTCAGGTGGCATTTTTTTTTCTTTCTCTTATTTCTGTTTCTGGTTTGCTTGGGGCTGGTCAGCATCTGTCCCCATCCTGTCCCGGCCCCACAGCCCTCCTGCAGAATCTCCACCATGAGGTGGACGCCGCCGCCTCCCACAGAAGGGGAAGGAGCCAGCTCTGCCCTCACTGCCGGCAGGTGACAACAGGCTCGGTCCGAAGTCACGGCTGTCACGAGGGCAGTGCCCAAGCCCAAACCCGGTGTGGCTTCCCGCAGCAGAGCTTCTGCAGGGGTGCGCCCCCCTCCAGCCCCCCACCCCCAGGTTCACATTTCGCCTGAGACAGCCCGGCCACTTCTGTCGCTGGCCACTGAGGACCCATCCAATGAAGCATCAGCTCTGAGGACCACACAGATTTGTGAGGGTTCAAAGCCTGCGCCCACAGACAACACCCACTTTCCACCACCCTCTCCAGCATTCGGGGGGCACTGTCGTCCATACCCGGGCCACTGAAGCAGCTTCTCCCAAATTCTCAGGCAGGCCCTACCTCCTTCTAAAGATTCGAAAACCACCCACACTGGCTTGAAATAGAATTACTTTCACATTTGCATTTTTCCTTGTTTGATTTTTGCAAGTCTCTGAGAAAGCTCATTCACCCCGACTTTTGCACAAATTACAGAAAGGCTT